TTAAAAATTTACTCGAAGTTCATCAAAAACTTTCATCAAACTATCAAAAAACAACGAAAACATCGAAACTTTGTCTGCATGATTCCATCTTAATTGAAACTCAAGTTCAATTGTTATCTGTTGTAGTTTTTGAAGCACTCTATCCATAAACTTTGTAAGCATATCTCGTTCCTGCATGTTAGCGAAACATTTATATAATTGAGATCAAAACTTTCTCATTTTCAACACGATGATTATAGCAAAAAATTCTTGAAAGATCAACAAAAGCAGAACTAAAACTAAATAAATCCAAATTCTAACCTCAAAAAATCTGATCCACATGCAAAAATTTGACCCAAAAACATCTAAATGATGAAATTATTCTCACATAAAGACACAACTGTGAATAAAAACTCCATCAAAAGTACAAGCAAGAAAAAAAAGCTATTTTTAAAACATTCAAATTGAAATCGAGCACAGATAAACTTTTCCTTATGCAATTGTAAAACTTTGAGTAGAAAAAAATCTCGTGAGGATTGTTAAGTAATGCATTTTACTGTGCAATCAAGAATGAATTGAATGTGGGTGAGCAAGTAAGAAGAGGCATGGATGGGGGTGCTGTTGGGAGGGTTTAGAGCGCATCTGAAGGATTCTTACTGATTGTTAATTCGTTGAAAATCGCGAATGGCACAATTCGGTTGATTGAATAGAAGTCCAGCACAAAGCAAGCGTGACTCTGGAATGGTGCTGAACTGAAATGGAATCTAGCATCATGCCAGAGTAACGCTAGCTTGGTGCCGGGTTTCTATTTGATTAACCGACGTGTGCCATTACAGAATTTATTTACTAGCTTGTTTGGTGTTGTTTAAGTTGCTGAACTAGGTCAGGTGTCTTTTAGTTGTGCATATTCAGAGTTTATTCCAGATCAGGGGGGAGCAAGGGGGGTTTGAGGTCTAATTCCCTGGTTTTTTAAAAACACTTCTTCAGTTGGCACTATTTTTGGAGAAAAAATACCAAAACCTCTTTAAATGTATCATTAAACCAACTGCAGGTCACTAGTTCCTTAGTTAATCTTCCCAATTCAAGAACTTTCTCACACAAAGCTCAATATCATTCTATCAATAGATAAGATACACACCGAAGGTCATCGAATCATTGACAAGATAATTAAAAATAATATAAGCAGTAATTAAGTTCATTATAAACTTGACGATAAGAAGTTTATTGAGCTTCATTATTATTGCTTCTTAATCTTTTAAGTCTTTTAATGAATATTATCTTGAGAAAAGTTCAGTTTTTGTTGGCTATTGCTGGTGAATGAAGCTTAAAGGTATTTAAACTGTTGAATGTGAATGAATTTTGACATTAATTGAGTCAAAAAGCTGAAAATCTAATAAAAACTCAAGTCAGACAGTCCGAAAAAAGTTGCCACTTCTCACAAATCATCACAAACCACTCAATTCCTTTAAAGAAAGCAAATAAAACTTTTAAAAACTGCAAGCAAAATTGAAAAGTTTTTCTTTTAAATTTGTTTATTTCCATCTGCAGAAATGTGATATGTATGAGATATATTCTCACGATGATTTTCATTTTATATTGACTCTGTTATGCAACTATGCTTTGTGTGCACATTCTTCCTTGAATATAAAAAGTTTACAAAGTTGTAGGATTGTGTGCAGTGGCCAAAGAAATAAACTTAATGTCGAGGAAGATTGACAAACTTTATTGACTTTTAAATTTAAAAAAATAAACAGTTTTTTTGATGGACTTTAATGAGTCACATCCGGTCATGATTGTTTTGTTCATGCAAATTGAGAGAATAAATTTTGTGAGATAAAAATCTGGTCCCGAAAATGAACAGAAAGTTATGAAAATTATTTAAATGAATTTTTTTTTAAATGAAATGATGACTTTGTAGCTTCCTTGTTGATGATACTACGGACTGGATCATGTAAGATGATGTGATAAATTAAATTGGATTAGCTTTATGCAGTTGAGAGTGTTTTGTAGTTCAGAATTGATTACTTTTAGCTGCAAGGTGGTCTAGTTTAAGTTTACGATACCAAACTGTCAGCTGAAGACTTCAAATTTGACCATTAGTCATGTGTAGGGTGACTAGATATTTTTTGAAAAAATAGAGGACATTCCTGAGGACATTTTATTCGTTTTCTGGACAAATTAGAACAAAACAAAACAATTTTTTTTTGAAAAATCAAAAAAATCCTCTGAAAAACCAAGCAGATAGTCATGACCTAGTCATGTGTCATTCGCATAGCTGGTTAACACCTTATCGACCATTTTCCCATTGATTCTGAAAATTCAATAGCTTCAATCGCTTTCAAAAAATCCCAAGACTCCTTCCAGAACAATACTCAATCTTAAACATCTCTATAATTGCCTTACAACATCATCATGACTCCAATTAAACTCAACGACGACAATTTATTTCACTGTTTTCTTTTTCTCTCATTCTCATGTCCACTGAGCTAGACTCGTCGTCTACATCTCAGACTTGTTAACGCAAAGAGATGCTCACATTTTTATCATGATAAATTCATGCATGTCAAGTATGACCGACACATTTGAGATGAGAATAATGTGCGTTATGAATGTGAATGAGGTAGATATTGATAGGTTGATAGGCAGTAGTGTACTGAAGGGGAGGGATTGAAGGTGCTACAGATGGTGCAAACATTTTGTTTTGAGCCTTCAGAACAATTTGCACATCAAAAGATCCTAGATCAGTGATGTGCAACCTTTTTTGTGCTGGCACACCTTGGTGGTAAACCATGACCAAAACCACACAGCATATGGCTCGGGGAATTTATTCGCGGCACATAGGTTGACCATTACTGCCCTAGAGCATGGCAAGGTTTAGGTATGCACACCAAAAAACAGTCCTTGATTTCCAACATCACAAATCAAGCTATTTCTGATATAAACTCAAAAATCACGAATTTATCCTCCACCACTGACCAATAAAGCCCCTCACCAGTCACCCATCTCCAGCTAAAATTGACATTTTCTGATATTTTTAGACAGTTTTCTTGTCTTCACATCATTCGCATGATTTATGTTCATTGAGATCTTATTTTTTTAGGGGGGATGGAATTTTGTGTCAATTATTCAATTGACAGCGATTTAGATAATATCATCCAATTTTCTCTTTTCTTTTCTTTTTCTATTTTTGGATCTGAACTTGAATTATTTTCTTGACCTTATTGACATTTATTGGAGGTATTTTTGAGCTGTGTTGTTAATGTAGGATTGCTAAGACATCCCACCTCCCCCTTTTCACTCAAGTACACATCAAATGTCAATGACTCAAGGTAATAAACACCCAAGAAATTCCATCAAAGGTCACATCTGAGGATTGAATGAAAATCGATAAAAACAGACAAGAATTAACAAGTCAAACATAAACTTTACATAAATTAATTAAGTAAAGAAGAAAAGTTATCCAAATAATAATTAAAATACCTTTAAAATCAATCAATCAACGTCAGACTTATCGTAAGTTTTCATCGAATATCGATTGCATTAAATATTCATAACTTGGGTGTTGAAGGTTAGCATTTTGTAAAGTTGTGGGGTGAGTTGGGGTGTAAGAAAATTATCGAAGTTCATTTAAATAAGTATGTGAGAAGGTTAAGGTGAATTTAAGGTTGAATTCTTTGTTAACTTTGTAACAGAATTCTTTAAACTTAGTTTAAAAATCAAGGTTGAGTTCAGCTCGATCGGGCTAATCTCATCCCCAACTTGTTGCACATTTTGCAAAAATTATTTTTGCGTGAAAAACATAAAAATTATTCCATTAAATTTTATCACAAAATCCTCCATCATGAGTCAGAAGCATGCATCGATCATAAAATACAATTATGCACCTTGTTTATGCTCAATTTTTGCCTCATTCACTTATAAAAGTCAGTCGTGATGTGAACGATAATGCGTTATGGTGCTCATGTACAGCAAGCAGTCGATGTAGTCATATGAGTGGCATTTAAGTGGTTCCGGTTCTCATATGCTCAATTTATTCAACAGCATCATGCTTGATTTAATTTAATATGACAAGCGTTTATTGGTGCTGTGACACTTTTTTTTGTTGTTGTGTTTTGTCGTGTACGGCAATCTGTGATGATTGGGAAAAGTGTTTGTTATTGTTTGCTGTGTAGAATTTTGCGATGAGGGGTTCTATGTAGCATGAGTGCATTGAGGGGCTTTCAGATTAGAGTTCTGACACTTTAGCTTGATTATCAGACTAGGATCATACTGATTCGATTATCCGACTAAAGTTTCTATCCTTAAATCTCAACCTTAATTGAAAAATCAATCCTCTAACCTAAAAATTCAATCAAGTCTCCTCAAATCCCATCCTCAATCTCGTCAGCCATCAAAAAGTAAACTAAACTCTTTAAAATAAATCCACACATCCTCCTCATATCTCTTCTCATGTTCATCGCAAGCAGAACGTGATCTCGTCACTAGCAGTGAATAATACCTGTCTATAATTCAGTCAACATTACAGTGCCGCGTTCTCATTTCCTATGCCATTATTCACTTTATCTGTGTCACGATACATAAATATCGTGCTCTCGGTGATTTATTGATGCTGTGAGCTTCGCGAGAGCTTTTATTTATTAGTTTATGCACGAATGTTTTTGAGGATGGGAAGTTGTGGATTATGATTCGATTATCCGGCTTATTTTTGCTAATATCGTTTAAAAGCATATCAAAATTCCTCAAAATCAACTCAAAATAGGCAACTCAAGTAACTTTAAGACTCAAATAACCTCGAAAAATTCCACAGTCAAAAAATGCGCTTTAGCCACCCACTTAATTTTAGTGACTTTCTTACTTGCATAATTTTTTTTGTCATTAATTTATTCATGCAACACTCTTCAATACCGGATGCTTGACACGAATCTCTTATATCACATAATAAATTCATAATAATAAAAACATTCGCTCCCTGTGCATTCAAAAAAAACCTAAAAATTTCTCATTTTTTCATGATTTATTTCAGAATCACAGCAGCAGTGAGTCACTGACAAGATAGAGAATAGGAGAACTTTTTTTTATTATCTTCATTTTTTGCCATAGCAGCCGTTTTTGTTTTGTGATTTTTTTTTACTTCTTCTACGTGCGTGAAGCCTTGGCATCAACTTTTGTACACGACAATCATCCTCGACTTGCACACAATTTTTATTTATTTATTTTTGTTGGTCGTCGGCAACTTTAACATTCCTTCCAGTATTTTAAAGCGTCTTCATGTAAATTTATTGTACATGTAACGGAAAACAAGAAAGCTTGGACAACGGAAGGAAAAGACGTGAAGTTTATTAGGATTTAAGTGGCTCTAAGGATTTAATTTAATTAATTCATACATACAGACACACACAACAGTGTTCATATTTAGGAAATATGTCGATCGATTCGGAGGATGTTGAGCTGCGTCATAAAAATGAAGAGCATGTGGATGTTCAGAGCTCATCCGGCCAACAGACACAGTCAACCACAATAGCGGTGAGTCATTTATTGGTTTGTTATGGCTTATCCTTGCCTGGGGTCAGGTCATGCTTACAGAATCTTAAAAGTATTCTTAAATCATGTTTGCAGATAAAAAACACAAAATCAGACGACGATCCACTGTTACGTGGCACGTGGGGTAGTAAGTTGGACTTTATTCTATCCGTCGTTGGTCTTGCCATTGGTCTCGGCAATGTGTGGCGTTTCCCTTATCTGTGTTACAAAAATGGAGGTAAATACTATCAATTTTACATTCACATCTACTAGAATTAACATTTTGGATCCTTAAAACTTCCAGGTGGAGCTTTCCTTATACCATATTTCATTACACTCATTCTTGCCGGTATTCCTATGTTCTTTATGGAGTTGGCACTTGGGCAGATGCTTACGATTGGTGGACTTGGAGTGTTTAAGATTGCGCCCATTTTTAAAGGTAATTATCAAAACTTGTGTTCAAGACTTGCATACAACTGGAAGGACTTCCATTCAAGTCTTGCATACAATCGTAAGGACCTTTAGCAAATATTTAAACCAAACTACTGAAAATACTCAAAATAATATCAAATCCTAATCAAAAAAATTCTCATTTCCCAGGTATTGGATATGCAGCAGCTGTCATGTCATGTTGGATGAATGTGTATTACATTGTCATCCTTGCGTGGGCAATTTTTTACTTTTTCATGTCAATGAGAGCGAAATTGCCATGGAGTACGTGCGATAACTTCTGGAACACATACACATGTGTAAATCCCTATGTCAGGAAGGAAATTTGCTTCGATCAACGCGTTCCCGGACAATTTTTAGCTAATGGAACAGCCGTCATTGCTAAAGTCTGCACACTCGGTGGAAAGAATGTGTCAGCATCAATTTTGACAGATCCTGTTAAGGAGTTTTGGGAGTGAGTTGGAATTTAATTCATATTTTGTCATGTACCGAACCCCATTTCATATCTCCCCCTTCATATCTATTTAATATCCAATCATTCACGAAAATAGTGATAGCTATGACATGAAACATAATTTTGCTACATTAACCAATTTATTTTAGACGACGTGCTTTAATGATCTCATCCGGTATCGAGGAAATTGGAAATGTTCGTTGGGAATTGGCTGGAACTTTATTGCTTGTGTGGATTGTCTGCTATTTCTGTATCTGGAAGGGTGTCAAATGGACTGGAAAGGTAGGTTTTCGGTTAACTTCTTCGTGAATTAAGCTATGGAGTAGATTAAGGTACTAGATTAAGGTACTAAATCAAAGTACTAGATTAAGATTAGGGTACTAGATTAAAGTACCAAACTAGGGTACTAGATTAAGGTACTAGCTTAGGGTACTAGATTGAGAAACTAGATTAAGATATTAGATTAAGGTACTAGATCTGGGTACTAGATTAAAGTACAAAAAATCAAAAACTAGATTACGGTCCTAGATTAAGGCAAAATATTAAGGTACTAGATTAAAGTCTTAAATTGAGGTACTAGACTAAGATACTACATCAGGGCACTAGATTAAGGTAATAGATTAAGGTACTAGATCAATATTAGATTAAGTACTAGAATGAGTACTGGATTAAGAACCAGAATAATTAGCAGACTAGATTAGGGACAAGATTAAGTAACAGGCTAGATTAGAGACTAAATTAACCAACAGGCTAGATGAGGTACTAGATTAAATAAAACAATTGGTTTAGATTTTATCCTACAAATCACACATAACAATTTTCTATTTCTATCCAGGTTGTCTACTTCACTGCCCTCTTCCCCTACGTTCTTCTCACAATTCTCTTAGTCAGAGGTATCACACTGCCTGGTGCAATGGAAGGTATTCGATTCTACATAACGCCAAATCTATCAAAGCTCAGAGAGTCTGAAGTGTGGATTGATGCGGTGACGCAAATCTTCTTCTCATATGGTCTCGGTCTGGGAACGCTCATGGCTCTTGGTAGCTACAACAAATTCCACAATAATGTGTATAAGTGAGTAACTAGTCGAAGAAGTTTGAGGTTAGATTTTATGGATTTTTAAACATTATAGAGATGCAGTCATCGTTTGTGCTGTGAACTCATCAACGTCAATGTTTGCTGGCTTTGTAATTTTCTCAGTTGTCGGTTTTATGGCTCATGAACAGCAGAAGCCTGTGTCGGAAGTCGCTGCGTCAGGTAAGATTCTACTTTTTGCTATTTGTTGACAGAATCATCAACTTTTTTATTTTTTCTCTAAATAGGTCCTGGTCTGGCTTTCCTGGCGTATCCATCTGCGGTTCTGCAGCTTCCTGGTTCACCTCTGTGGTCAGCGCTGTTCTTTTTCATGCTGCTGCTCATTGGTCTTGATTCTCAGTTTTGTACAATGGAAGGTTTGTAGACTGAATAGAATAGCTTTAGATTTATTTGATATATTTATTATCTGCTGCTAGGTTTCATCACTGCCATGGTCGACGAGTGGCCACATTTGTTGCGCAGAAAGAAGGAAATTTTCATCGCTGTGGTCTGCTTCGTCAGTTACTTTGTTGGTTTTGCATGTATCACGCAAGGTGGCATGTACATGTTCCAAATTCTCGATTCATATGCTGTCAGTGGTTTCTGTCTGCTGTTCTTAATCTTCTTTGAGTGCATTTCTATCTCATGGTGTTATGGTATTGAGCGATTTTATGATGGAATTAAAGACATGATTGGTTACTATCCAATGAAATGGTGGAAGTTCTGTTGGTGCATAACCACGCCGTTTATTTGTTTGGTGAGTTTTGACTACTTGCATGCAAGTATTGTGTGCAAGTGAAACCACAAAAATTATCCAAAAATTTTAATTCTTTTCCAGGGCGTCTTCATCTTCAACATCATTCAGTGGACGCCAGTTAGATATTTGGACTACGAGTTCCCATGGTGGGCTCATTGCTTCGGTTGGTTCACAGCCCTCAGTTCTATGTTATGTATTCCTGGCTATGCTATTTGGCTTTGGCAGAAAACACCTGGAGATGCTATTGATGTAAGTTCGGAATTTTCTGGGGGGTAACAAATTAGTTCAACTGATTTTCAGCTGTAAAAAAGTTTCCTCAACAAGTTGTTATCCCCCTGAAAATTAAAAAAAATTGAAAATTCTAACCTCATTTTTTAAAAAATTCCAGAAACTTCGACTAATCGTACGAATTGATGACGATGTGGCGGCACTCCGAGTAAAGATGCAGGCACGCACAAAGAAACTTGGCGAGAGATTATAGAAAAAGATTTTTTTCATTTTAAGGAAAAAATTTTAATTTAATTTAAACTATAAAAAAAAATTATTTAATGAATAAAAATAGATTTAGATTTAATCAAATATTAATAAATTAATGTATTATGGACATTCACGGTGATGACCCATTGCTGCTTAATATGTTGGACATAGACACACGCGCACACAGACACGGAATTACTGAGGGATCTCAAAAGACATAAATTTCTAAGCTTTTTTTTTTGAAAATTTTTTTTGATGAAAAAAAAATTTATTTGGGGAAAACTTTTGGAACAGAAAATTTCACAACAAAAAGGCAGGAAAATTTTGATGAAATTTTTTATCGCTTCAAAATTTTGAATTTTCCAGCTTTTTTGAAATATTTAAAATAAAAAAATCTTTTAAAATTTCTGAGCATTTAAAAAATACAAAAAAATGATGAAGAAAGAATCTTCGAAATTCTTTTATTTAAGCAATTATTCGAGCTAGTCGGACAAGATGTTCATTAGCTTTGGAAAGAATAAACAAAATGTTCACAAAAAATTAAACTTTTAAATTTGAATTGTTAATTTTAAAAATTTGTGAAGCGATTTTAAAAAGTTATATTTTTGAAATGTTAAGTTTTATTTTGTTTTTAAATTTTTAAGGTTTAAAAAGTGTAAAATATTCAACATTTTTTAGTAAATTTAACATTTAATAGTCAACAATTCAATTTTAAAAATTTAAAGTGACAACCAAAAAAATAAGCGAAGTTAAAATTCAAATAAAAAAGATCATCTAAAATAAAAAGAAAATTTGAAAACAAAAAAAAAAGTTCAACATTTTTAAAAACATTAAATTTTCAAAACTATTTTGATTTTTAAGTTTTTAACAATTTTTCAAATTGTTTTCTGAAATTCTTTTTTCTAATTTTAAGGACCATTTAAAAGTTAAAATTTGACAATAATTGAAATTTAAAAGTATAAAAAAGTTGTAAATTGAATTGCAAAATTGAATAAAAAAAATTCTTCAAGAATTAAAAATGCTTCGATTTATTGATTAAAGTTGAAAACTTTATAATGTTAAAAAAGAATTCAAAAAGAGCACCAAAATGAAATACATTTAATATTAATTCAGAAAAAAAAACTTTTTGTCTTCCATATTTAAATTTAAAAAAATTGAGAAAATTTAAAAGTGAGAAAATAAAATAAAAAAAAATTATCTCATTTAAAATATTTTCTATTTTATTTATTTTTTAAATTTTCCGTTTATTTTTGCAGTTTAAATAGTTTTTAAATGTTTGACATGAGATGGCGCCATCAATCAAACTTGATGAGTTAGGTCAATAATCGGTTGATGAATCTTCATTTTCAAACATGAATTTCAAACATGAATTTTAATAACAAGTTTATTTTTTTTTTTCAATATTCCCTTTCAAAGATTTTTTTGAATAGCTCTTTAGAGACAAACCAAAACTAACTTAACCCTGATAATATATCCAGCAACACCTAATCTGCACCTTTTCACACCAAAAATCAATGTCAAACCATTATCAATCACTTTATAACAATTAAAATCACAAATTTCAAAGAAAAATGACAAAAAAAGACTTTTCGCACATCCAAGCACAAAAAACTATTGTAATCATCATAAAGGAACCTGCTACTCCACGTGCGTGAACTAATACGTCATTATGCAAATTGAAGTAATTTTTCACTTCTTTTAAACAAGTTTTTAAGAGGTAAACAGACGACAAGAAATGCAAATTCATTCAGATATGTTTTTTTTTGGAATTAGATTATTTTGAGTAAATAAAAGGTTAAAAATTCTTGATTTTTTTTTTGTTATTTTAGATTATTTTAATAGTGATTAAATTAACGTAAAAGGGTACATGATGTTCAATAGACAGGGATGTGAACTTAACTGATAGGGATGGGGAAGGAGGTTAGAAAATTCTAAGAAATTGTTTTGATTAAAAACTGGAATTTTTGAATAATTCTTAAGCAGGATTTATGAAATAATAAATATTAAGGTTCTCAGATCAATTTTATCAAGTTCCTCAAATGTTCTATTACAGTGATGGTTTACCCGTGTAGGTTGGACACCACTGATCTTTTATGTAAATATCAATTTCGAGTGGAGGTAAAATTGGTTTAGACCAGTGTTTCTCAAACTATGCTTCGCGGAACTTTAAAATTGATAATCATTGTGGCACGGAAGTTTAAACGAATTATTTACTGCTCGGTAGAACTATATGATCGTGAAACACTGGTTCAAACCCTTCGGAACCTTGACATGAGTCATTAGCCGTTTAAACTCCTTTCAACCTGTTCAGTGTTGGCTCCGTACTTGCCACGAACCTACAAAAATTATAATTGGACTTAAAAATAACTATTTCAGGCATCAAACAATTTTTAAAATCGGAAAAAATCATATTTAATAAACAACAATCTCAAATGACCATTGCAATCCATCCATTTCTCCTCTCACCATACTTCACTTCCAAAAATTAGAAAACAATTACATAACTAGTAATAAGTGATAATTTTCGGCTATTGAATTACCTGAGTAACATCAAATATTAAATCTGTGTTCATTAAACAAGACAAAAAAACCGATAATCAAGACAAGACAAACATTTTCGATGCTGCGTTCAAGTTTTAAGCCTCTGCAGCACGAAAATGAGTTTGCTTTTACTATGAAAATTTTTGTTTTTTCTTCTTTTCGACTTCGTTCAGTTGGTTGAAGATCGCGCGACTGTCAAGAAGTGAAATTTCTAAGTGCAATAATAAACAATTTAAAAAATTAAAATATATTGAAATAAATTAATTAAAATTGAATAAAATAAAATAGAATTAAAATTGTTTAAAATTTAATAAAAAATAAAATTAATTAAAAATAAATTAAAAATGGCATCAAAAGCTAAAGAATTTAAACAAAGTGCAGAATTAAAATCTGGAAAAAGTGTAAGTTCGAGGACCCCCCCCCCTTGCTCCTCTTCTTTTTCGCTACCTATACTTGGCTGTAAGGTGTGTCGCGTGTGCCCAAATAAGCACCAAAAATTCAAAATCCGTCCAAAAATTTTCAAAAATTCAACGAATTTTCAAAAATTCAACGAATTTTCTATGCCTTAATAACTGTACAACATGCTGTTCCTTAAAGCTTATCTTTAATCATCCACATTCTCAGCCACATGCATTATTAATTCAAATTCAAATGCAACACAATCTCCAGCAACAAAAACAAGTCACGCGACCTTGAATAATATTGAAGCAATAGAAGAGAAAATATTTCGGAGGTGTCGTCTGGCCCTTTTTTGAATATTTTCACTGTCATGCTTATTTGTATTTTTAATGAGGAAAAAAAAACTTGGACCGGTTTTCAGCTTTGCGACTCGTGGATTTTATGATTTATTTAATTTAATAACTGCCACAAAAACCTTTTGAGTTGCCGTCAGGTCTAACAATGATTAACATTTACAGGATGTTGCAATTGCTGGACAAGATGAAGATTCTAAGGAGTTCAAGACGGAAATTGTGTGGAGAAATGTGATAATTTTTGCATTAATGCATTATTGGGCGTATCAAGTTAGAGGTCATGCTACATGGGGAATGATCTTTTTTCGTGAGTATTAAAAATTAATTTTAAATTTGTCAAAGACGTCCTTAGTATGGCTCTTGTATGGTATATCTCAGTGGCCTAACATAGAGGGACTTGCCATTCTTATTGTCAACCTTTCTCAATTTCTTAACTTACTGAAGCTTTTTCCTTCGAGTTGGAGGATGAGGGAAGGGGGGGGGGGGAGGGAGAGGTGAGGCATTGAGGCATTAATGCAAAGCATTGCCATTAAGAGTCATTAAAAATGCTTGTGTCAAGTCTATACCAAAGATCTTGAACTTATCACAATAGTTTAGATTCCTTTAGATCAGTTAATAACCTTTGAGCAAAAGCTATGTTATTCAAGTGTAATCTAGATTGATTTTTCAAACGTCATCCTCAAAAATTCTTGAAAAACAAGGAAAACCGGCATATTATAAATCCTTTTTGTTCCATAACGTCCAATAAAATATTTATAAATAAACTGCAGAACTTTTAATCTCTGCTGCTGTGTGTCATCTTTTTGTTCACGTTTTAGTCAAACAACTTAAGGGGTTTGTTCATAAATGAGGTTTTCAATGTTATTTTACATCGGAACAAACGAGGGAAAGTTAGGGTTTGGGGGTCTGAAGCTGTTTGACAACTCCATACGAATAAAAACTTTACTACATCAGACAGAAGTGGTCTTGAATCCTTAATTCGGATAGACGTCATTTACAAATTGACCCACTGTAAAGAAGAAAACAACAAAATCTATAAAATGTTCCGGGATGAAGAAGAACTCAATTAAAAATTCAGATTTTATCCATATTTGAGCAACATTTTTAAAGAGATGATAGCTCTCCTTGATTAGGCTGTCCATCGGCTTTTACCAATTTCTGGTCAAAAAGCGGGACAGCTTCTGATTCCAGCTCTGAAAAAGCGGGACTGTCCCGCTCAAAAGTGCGCAGTTGAACAGCTTATCCATGATTGACATGCTCATATCAATCTAAAATGTCATACAAACCAGATCGACTGCAGTTTTTTGATTTCATAACACTCAAACTTTAATTAAATATAATTCCTGAATATTGTCCAAGATAAACCACAAATCAATATCAAATTGAGGTCATCAATCCCTTAAAAAAATCCCTTCAAATTTCATTAATAATTGTAAAATCAATAAATCAAACCTTTTTCAAAACAAATCAATTTTAATCCACACTGCATGCCCACCTTGAGCATCAGACTGCGTGCATTTATATTCAATAATGTGGAAATTATTAAAATCAGGTCTACAAATTAAAGCAGTCTAGCTTCCGTGAATGACACTTAAGATTCATGAATAAATTATTAATTCTTCTTTGCAGACACAGCAATTGGGATTCTAACAGGCTACGGCATTGTCGTTGGTGCACATAGACTTTGGGCTCATCGCAGTTTCAAAGCTAATTATAAGCTACAAGTGCTGCTCATGATTCTGCAGACAGCAGCTGTTGAAAATGATGTAATTGAGTGGGTTCGTGATCATCGAGTTCATCATAAATTTAGTGACACTAATGCGGATCCAACAAACTCTAATCGTGGACTTTTCTTCTCACATATGGGCTGGTTGATGTGTAAGAAGCATCCAGATGTGAGGAAGTATGGATCGAAGGTTGATATGAGTGATATTGAGTCAGATCCATTGCTGCAGTTCCAGAGGAAGTGAGTAGCTTTAAATATTCAAGATCATAAAAATTCTAATTTTAATACTTTTCAGATATTACATTCCACTGGTCCTCCTGATCTCCTTCTTCATCCCAATGGCAGCATCAATGTACATATTTTCAGTCTCAATGAAGCTTGCATTCTACAGTGTTATGGCTCGCTATGTCATATCATTGCATGTTGTATGGCTCACAAATTCAGCTGCTCATTATGGAACATGGAAGCCTTATGATAAAAATATTGCACCTGCTGATTCGTGGTTCTTTGGGACGCTGTGCTATGGAGAAGGTATTTTGAGTTATTTTTTAATGTTTTTTTATTTTTTTGGGTAGGGTTTGTATGGGATAGGTGTGCATTTAGAGCTGTAATAGCCATTCTAATTTTTTTGGAGTGTCTTTAATGAATACGGTTGATTAACATAGCTAGGTTGCCTACACACAAGTCCAAGACTCAGCTTTATTGATTTTGGATCCTGCAACCTCAACCTTGTCCCAAATTTAACCAACTGAGCCCACCAAACCCAAATGTAGACCTCAAAATTACAGTCCAGACCGTTAAAATGACTCAATTCTATCATTTCAGGGTGGCACAACTTCCATCACACCTTCCCATGGGACTACAAAGTGTCGGAAACAAATCTTTATCGACACAACTTTGGCATGATTTTTATTGACTTTTTCGCATGGCTTGGATGGGCAACTGACTTAAAAGTAGCGTCAAATGATTTGATAAGAAAGCGAGTGATGAGAACTGGAGATGGAACTCATCCGTATGCTGTTGAGGAAGCTTTGAAGATGAAAAAGCTTGGAATTGAGAAAGTTGAGAATAACAATAATAATAATAATAACAATAATGAGGAAGACATAAAGACATGCTGGGGATTAGGTGATAAAGACATGCCATTTGAAGACATTCGTGGAATTACAACTTATTGCACAAAGATTGAATGATTTTATAACATTTTGTACATCACTCAGAGATTTTTTGAATTATAAGGGGATTTAGATGAGGGTTTGTGAGGTCATCAGGCTAGACTAGGATTTTTTGGTCTTGGTCTTGATCGAATCCTTATTATTAGTATCAAAAAACACCAATATTTCATAATTACCATTAACAAAGCAGCTATTTTGTAACAAATAAATATTATTAAGTAGCAATAAAAAACCGTTAAACATAAATTTGAATCTTTTTAATCAATTTAGTTGTGTAGAAGTTCATGTGAAGCACTCATCGGTCCCCTTGTTATTGTTTTCAGCAAACGTAAACATTTTTGGATGTTTTTGAAATTTCTTTAGTGATTTTTGAAGTTCTGGGAGCTGCTAGGCATCAAACTTTGACTGTTGGACATCAAAATTCAATAACTTTATAACCAAATATCCAAAAACTAATCCAACAATTCTGAAACTCCTGAAAAACATTAAAAAATGATCGAATGCATTTTATGTTTAAATAAAATTTTGAAGAAAAATTCAATCAAGCTCAGTTCGACTGAGGATTGTGACCTGTCAGTTGAGGATCTCATCAAACTTCACTTTTGGTTCTCGGACGTAAGTCGAAGGTTCTAAAATTCAATAATATTCAATAATTCCATCAATTTTCAGAAAGTTCTCAGCCATCAACCATCCAAATCCCTTCCAATAATCTGCAAGACATGCTACAGCAAGCTCGAGTCATTCCATGAATTCTTTTGTGCTGTCAAATTCAACCACCAAGTTGATGATGCCAACATTTCAACCGCTTTCATTGACACATCCGCGATATTTATTAAAAATGAGAAAATTGAGGAACCGGAAATAGTTAAGCAAGATATCGACGATATAGCATCCAACTTTGCACCGAGTCCATACAAAGATGATTCTTCAGACTCGGATGAACCACTAGCCAAAGTCGCAAAAAAGAGAAAATTGACTGGCACTAAAGAAGAGTCAGTAAATAAGAATCAAAAGTTCGATGTTTCACCAGAAGAACTGGATGTCTTGAGAGTTCATGCAGAATTTAAATGTGAATTGTGTTCAGAGCCGTTGGAAGCTTGGAAGGATTTCAAAACACACTATAGAGTAAAGCATAAAATTCGTGGATTTTTGAGATGTTGTGGGAGAAAAATCGACAGAGCTAATCACATAAGGGATCATGCTAGTGTGAGTATTGGGATTGTTCAAAGTTACTCTGGGTATAGATTAGGTTTAGGTTAGGTATAGGTTAGGTATAGGTTAGGTATAGGTTAGGTATAGGTTAGGTATAGGTTAGGTATAGGTTAGGTATAGGTTAGGTATAGGTTAGGTATAGGTTAGGTATAGGTTAGGTATAGGTTAGGTATAGGTTAGGTATAGGTTAGGTATAGGTTAGGTATAGGTTAGGTATAGGTTAGGCATAGGTTAGGTATAGGTTAGGTATAGGTTAGGTATAGGTTAGGTATAGGTTAGGTATAGGTTAGAGGTTAGGCAGGTTCAGCAGTTAAATGACTGAACAATAAAAAATGAACTAAATTTAACTCTTAATTTCTATTTCACAGTGGCACTTGAACCCTCACATATTCCAATGTCATGTATGCGGCAAATCAGCAATATCTCGTGAAAATCTCAAGCTACACGAAGAAACTCATATCCCAGATGAAGATCGCAACTTTGCATGTCAAAAATGTGATAAGAAATTTGTCAACAAATACAATCTCAACATGCATGAAAAAGTCCACGAAAAAGATGAAAAGATTGCATCAATTCCTTGTAAATTTTGTGACAAACTGTTCAAAACTGATCGACAATTAAACGACCATTTCAATTATTCTCATAAAGCATCATCAGGTTCACTCATTTGTCATGTCTGTAGTAAGATCCTCAAGAGCAAATACACACTAGATATCCATGTTAAGGCACACACAAATCCAGATGACCCAATTGAATGTGATCAATGCGGTCACATCCTTAAAAATAAACGAAGATTTGCAGTTCACATGGCAAAGCATAAATCAGCTGAAGCTGGTCCATATGAATGCGAAAAAGGTTGTGGAAAGATTTTCAAGCACCGACCAGCAATGCTTGATCACATCGCATTTGTTCATACAACAAAAAGATTCAATTGTTCACATTGTAGGAAGGAATTTAAGCACAAAAAGACACTTGATGAACATGAAATTACACAACATGGTGGACTTGACCCATATTCGTGTCCATTTTGTGATCGAACTTTTAAAAATAGTGGAAATATGCATGCACACAAGAAGAGAACTCATCCAGAAGAGTACAAGACTCTCCCGGCACCAAATTATTTGAGAGGATCAATTGGAGATTATAATGAATAAAAATGTCTGTTTTGGAGCTGCTGTGTTAACAAATATTTGTTGTAATAGCAATAATTGAAGTCGTTTTATTCTCATTTCTATTTTTATTTCAGGTGTGCTTTTTAAAATTATTTGTTTCAGTCATTTGAGGGGTCTCGAGAGCTTCAGATGTGATAATGAATTGCATTGAAGTTAAAAATGTATTGAAAAATTACAAAAGTCATGGGGAAAATATAAAAGTTCTTGATGGATTAAATCTAACGGTTGGATATGGTAAAATGTAAGTTTATAAGTTCTAGGACTTCATGGTGAAGGTACCTGAACACTGGAAGCTATGTGTGAAGGCACCTGAATACTGGAAGCTATGTGTGAAGGCACCCTAACCTAGTAAACCTAGTGTGAAAGCATCTTATATTGGTTTTTTTGTGAAGTCAATTGAACCTAGTAAAAACTGTGTGAGGGCACCTGAATCTATTTATACTAGTGTGAAAGCACTTGTATCTAGAAAAAAACTGTGAATAGCCATTTAAATTTATTTACTCTAGTGTGAAGGCACCTGAATCTATTTGTTTTAGTGTGAAGGCATCTGAATCTTAAGAATTTAATGTAAAGGCACCTGAATTTAAAATTGAATTTTTTCTACTGTCTCTCTAGCTACTCCATTATTGGAGCTTCAGGATGTGGCAAGACAACTCTGTTTACATGTCTCATGGGAATGCAGAAAATTGAACAAGGAGAAATGAGAATCTTTAACCAAAAAGTCTGTCATAATAAGTCATCTAAAAATTATCAAGTCATTGGATACATGCCACAACAAGTTGCACTGATCCAAGAGTTAAGCATTAAAGAAACTCTTCAATATTTTGGTGATTTATTTATGATGAATCCGAAAGAGATTAATGAAAGGATTCTTCAAGTTATCAACTTATTAGATCTACCAAATGAAAATTGTCAAATCAGGAACTTGTCAGGTGGTCAACGACGTCGAGTGTCATTAGCAGTTGCGATTCTTCATAAACCGAAACTTTTACTTCTTGATGAGCCGACAGTTGGACTTGATTATTTACTTCGTGAAAAAATCTGGAATTTTCTGCGAGAATCGAGAGATAAATTCAAGATTACTGTTGTAATAACTACACATTACATAGATGAAGCTAAGAACTCTGATCGTTGTGGATTCATGAGAAATGGTAGAATAATTGCCCAAAATTCACCTACAAATATTTTAACAGAGCTGGAATGTGAAACACTCGACGAAGCATTTTATAAATTATCACTTAAGGATGAGAAGAATGAACGATTATTGACAGCTGTTGATGATAATACAAATATTCGAAGTGAATATTTAGAAAATGATGTTAAAATTTATGATCGATCAAGAACAAGAGCTCTCAAAGCTATTCTAAAGAAGGAATTTCATAGAATTAAAAGACAATCAATGTAAGTTTGGAGTTATTTATATTACGCTTTTTTCGGGAAAGCGATGGGAGGGGGGAGAGGGGCTTTAAAGGAAGATCCGACGTTGTGAGTCTGCATTTGAAGAGAAGCTTGAAGAAATTAACTGTTTAAAGGAGGTCGGTTACTCTGAAGAGGGTCGGTTTCTTTGAGGGGTTGGTTTCTCTACGAACGGTTAGGGGGGTGCATATAAGGGCTCTATATACCCAAGGGGTTCTCTAGGGGAGTAAACACTCAAAGAGAACGAATTTTTTAAGGGGAGAGACGAACTCGCAGCTGAGGGGGTTACATCCTCCGGGGGGAAAGCGGGGGGGGGGGAGGGGGTTGCATGCGATTCCTCATCATTGCTCTGTGATTCAACGATCAACTAATTTTGTTCTTATTTTTATATTTTAGTGAAATTTTCTTTATACTACTAATACCTTCACTTGGAATCAATTTAAGCGCCATGGCTTTAGGAACTATTCGTAGCGATATTCAAATAGGAATCGTAAACTACGAGACCAATGGTTTTGAAGATTGCACAACATTTCCAATAAATTGCACTAATTTATTCATATCCTGCACATTTATTCAAGACTTGAATGAAAAAATCCAAAAAAATTTTTACAAATCGTTTGACGCAGCTTTTCAGGACTTCACAAATGGAACTCTTGGTGGCATAATTGTGATTCCTGAGAATTTTTCGGAATACTTTTACGATGAAGATTTAACAAACAAGAAAATTGACATTTATTTAGACTACAAAACTTATATAATCGACTTTTTTGTGAAGGTGAAAGTTAATGAAGCATTTAAAAGTGCGATAACGAAGTTGTCTGAGAGCTGTGTTGACAAAGACTTGCAGGAAGAGATGATAAAGTTTGACTTGTTATACGATAAGATGGACTTCAACTTTAAAAATACATTTGGTGTTGTTTCGTGTTTTCTGTTGAGTATTTTTTGATATTTTTGAGGTTAGGTTAAGTTACTTTTGGGGTTAAGTTAAGAATTTCAAAGGTTAAGTTGAGAAATTCGAGGTTAAGTTGAATTTTTTTGAGGTTATGTAAATTATTTTGAGGGTAAATTGAGAATTTTGAGGTTAAGCTGAGAATTTTGAGGTTATGTTGAAAATTTTCGAGGTTATGTAATTAAATTTAAGGTTAAGTCGATTTTTTGATGTTAGTTTTCGAATTTTTAAGGTTAAGTTGAGATGTTTAAACTTAATTTGAGAGTTTTAAGGTTAAGTTTAAATATTTAAACTTAAGTGGAGAATTTTGAGGTTAAGATCAGAAATTTTTGAGGTTAAGAAATATTTTTTGAGGTTAATTTAAGATGTTTTAAGCTTAACTCGAAGATTTTAAGGTTAAGTTAAGAATTTTTAAAGTGTAATATTAGTTAAATCAATATTTTGTTCTTTATCCTATTGCAGAATGTTGTTCTTTGTACCGATGTGCTACTCATCATTTACAATCCATGCACAGCGCATTGAAGGCATTTGGAATAGAACTTTGCTGAGTGGTGTCGAAATAACAGAACTGATTATATCTAACTTAATCTTCTCGTTCATCAATTCAACGATTCAATCAATCATCTTCCTAATTTCAATATATATTGAGCTGAATTTTGAGATCACAAAAAATTGTTGGATTTTGTTTGTTGCAGCTTTTGTTATGATGAACCTTGGATTCATATTGGGAATTTTAATTTCAGCTACATTTGATGATTTTCATGTAATTTATGGAATTGGAATAACAATATCTTGGATGATGACCTTACTCAGTGGAGTTTTTTGGTAAAATTACAAATTTAACTTTAAAAAATCAATCAAAATTTTAACAAAATTCTTTTAAGGCCAATTGAAGCTATTCATCCATTCATTAAGTCTTTAGTGGACTGGTCACCGATAACTTTTGGAATCAAATCTTTTATGAACGTGTTTCTCAAAAAATTAGGGATTTTGGATCGATCTGTGTATTTTGGATTAATTTATGATTTAGGGTGGATTATTGGGGGTTTAGTAGTTCTTAAAATTTTACTAAGTAGACGGAAATTCGCTAGAGAAGTTTAGGTAGACTTCTGAATTAGGGATAGCTTTAATTCAGTCCACCAATACCTTGTCAACAATAAAATATTGATTAAAACCACTTGTTTGAGTTTGACAATTATTGTATTTTAGTAATATCCAATAAAATTGATAGCTACTAAGCATGTAATTATTATTAATAAATGATTGCGCAAAAATTAGCTTTCTTGTAGTTTTTCTCTAGAAAACTCATTCAGTGAGTGATTGTTAAAGGCACAAGTCGTGTCTGAGGAAAATCTAGTTCTTTAATTATTATAAAAATCAAGTTAACCCTCCAGAAAAGCTAGTTTTACATTCCATCCCCCAATCTTGCTTTGATAACCATAAAGATACCACAAACCCTCACCAAGAACCTCAACTTCATCTCCTTCATCAACAACTAACCCACCCAACCATGGCAATCGCCAAAACCACTGCAAAATCCAACGAAAAGGACCCCAAAAAACCAAAAGAAGGAACATTCAAGCGAGCAATCATACTCACACTTCATCAATTTCTCGAACATACCACAATCCATGGATCAAAGCATATTATCGAACCGCGTGCTAATGCCTACACAAAATGTTTTTGGATTTTACTGATAATTATATCCTTTGCATGCGCAGTTGCACTAATGACAACGTTTCTTATTCGATACAAATCAAATCCAACGAGAATCAATATTGAAACAAATTTCGGACCCATTAGCGAGATTGAATTTCCAGCTGTGACTTTTTGCAATCCAAATTTTATTGCTGACTCGATGGTGCTTGGATTGATTAACTCGCTGTGAGTAGATTTTTGGATTTTTGAAACTCAGATTGTTAAGATTAATTTTTTGTAGTGAAAAGTTCGATGATGCTGATGGATACGGCAACATTTCAACAAGAGATTTGACAAAACGGATCAAATATCTTGCAGGATTTACAAACTCAATCAACAAATTCAAATCTGAGGAACTTGATGAAGTCTTTGACATCCTTAACTACAACAGATTCGATGTCAAGCTAACAATGAAGAAGCTTATGTATCCATGTAATAAGTTACTGTACAGATGCCAGTGGGAAGGTCAAATAATGGACTGCAAGAAACTGTTCCAAGTGTCAGAGACTTATCAAGGTTATTGCTGCTCATTCAACGTCGTGAAGCCACTTAAAGCAACAAGTTCAGATGAAAGAGGAAAAACTGCAAGAAAAACTCACTTTTTTGGACCTGACATGGGACTTTCTGTGGTTCTTAATCCATTAATTGAGAAAAATTCATTAACTAGTGTCAATTCTGAAGGTATAAAGATCCTGATTAATGAATGCAATTTGTATCCATCAGAAAAGACAATTGAAAGGATGTTGCCGCATAGACAGGAAACTTTTGTAGAAATTCGACCTGAACGAACGATTAGCTCAAAAGCTGTGACTGCATTGCCTATTAGTGATCGTGGATGTGTCTTTGAGAATGAGTTTAAGTTGAGGTAAGATTGTTAAGAATTCTGGTAGCAGTAATGATCGAAACTTGCATCAATATCGACAAAACTTTAACGTGCATCATATTTGAGATAGACAGTAAACTGTTTCCTAAAATATGGCGCACGAGTTTTCAAATTTTTAATTTCTCCATGATTTCGAAAACTTATAAAATGCAATATCCTTCAGATTCTTCCCAGAGTACCGAGAAGTTAACTGTCAAGTTGAATGCGTCATGGAACAAACAATGAAGCTTTGTGAATGTTTGCCATATTTTTACTACAACACTGAAAACATTGAGTTGTGTGACATATCAAAGTTAGACTGTATTGTCTCAAACCGAGAAGTTTTAAAGAAAATTAAGGCACCTGAAAAGAATCACACTAAGGAATCATGCACATGTCCATCGCAATGTGAATCTACCAGCTATTCTATTCGTATGAGTTCAACTGATATTATTCCTGAGATGTCTAGGACAGTTAATGTTGATCCGTTTCAGTAAGTTTTTGAATTTTAACCTTAAAAAAATTCTAACCTCAAAAAATTCTAACCTCAAATTTTTTAAAAAAATCTAATTTAAAAATAGTGCAAACCTCACCGACAAGCACATGATTGTTCATGTCTACTATGTTTCACAGTTCTACAGAGTCTTTATCCGCAGTTTATTAACAAATTTCATCAGTTTGATCTCCAATCTTGGTGGTGTCTACTCTTTACTTGTCGGAATGTCCATAATATCAGCATATGAGTGCATCTACTTCCCAACAGCCAGGCTATACTTAAACTACAAGAAAATCAAAAATGAAGACAATAAACCGAAAACATTTTTGCAAAGACTAGAAAAAGTCAACATAAATGTAATCAAAGTTCCAAGATTGGACACAGCAAAGTCGGACATTTCAGATATTTCGAGTTTCCGAGTTCATTCGTTGAGCCATTATTAAAAGTTTATTCTCAATTTTTCTCTCTCGCGAGCAGAACAAAACAAAAAAAAATCATTGAAAATTAGCCACAGCGAATCGAGAACTTCTCATTCGATCGGGTGGTGTTGGAGTGAAAAGTTTAAAAAATTTTTTTTATTTCAAGTTTTTGTGATAAAAAAAAGTAATTTTTGACTCGTGCTACCGAGTAACATTTTTTTTTATCAGTAAAGTTGACATAATAGAGAAATTGATAAGCATTATTAAGTGCACATAATAACCACATTGTTTAAGCACACGTGAGTTTGAGATTTTTTTTTATTATGAATTTGTGGTTTTTTGAGGAATTTTTTGTGAAGTTTGAATTTAAATTTTGTGAAAGTTTGTTGAATAAAAATTATTGCACTTAGTTTTTGATCACTGCAACGTGAATGATTTTGGAGTTATTCTCTGGTTTAAAGTTAACTTTTTCAGATTGGAGCGAATTAAGTTTGGCAAAATAGTGATTTTTGAGTACTCTAAATTCAATTTTCTGGGTTTTTTTAATGATTTCAATCTTTAAAGTTCAGGTTAGAACAGAAGAGATTCTATCTTATTTATTAATGTATATTTGGCTACAATTGGCCTCTTTTAAGGCCTTAAGAAGTGCCAAACTCCCGCAAAAAATTCATAAAACATACTATTTGGACCTTAGCACTTCCAGCTACCAATAGAGGAATAAATAGATGTCAACAACACAGAACATTGCTTATAATATCCAAGAATTCCAAAATGCCAAACAAAATCCGTTCCAAACCCATCTTCAAAAGAGCACGAAATAAACAAATGCTAGACTAATTTTCCAAGAAAATATTCCATTTAATTCGAAAATTTTCCATAAACCCGATCATTCAATAAGAACAAAATCAGAATAATAACATTTAGTAAAGTGGAAATGGAGAATGTCAGTAATAAATATCACTTAAAATGATCATGTTTCAAATAAAAGTATTGAATATTTCACTATTGAATGCATAATTTGACTGGTTATGAGTCATTCTTTAGTTTCGATCGTCTAAGCCAGTGGTGGGCAACCTTTTTTGTGCCACGGCACACTTTCTTTGGAAGCTTTGACCAAAACCTCACACAGCAAACGGTTCTTGGGATTTGTGAAATTTTTCAGTGGCACATGGGTTGTTCATCACTGGTCTAGGCTAGACATTAAAATTATTTATGCCTTATACGTCATGTTTAAATATTGATTAATTCACAGTTTTATAATTGTCTACTTTTATGGATGTAGCTAGTGAGGAATAACTTCAATTATTTCTATAAGTGTTCTAGTCTATTCTATTCTAGTCAAATTGACTTATGCTATCAACCACCTCATAAGCCCTTCAAAGTAACCGTCACGTGCAACTCAATATTTTCCCAGTCATCGTCACCAAAACATCAATTACATCCCATAAAAATTTAATTCAATTGACTGCTAATAATTTCATTCAATTTAAAGAGAAATTTAGTCATAAAATAAGTCATTCAAATAATCAAGTCAGTTGCCTAATAAAGCAATGTACAAAATTTGCATTTGAATTGCGACTCATTTAGGGAACAGAAGTTGTTGATCGAATGAGATCAGAGGCATAAGTTGAACGTTTTAGAATTTTAGGAGACATTTTTCTGAATGCAAATCACGTTTGTCAACCCACTTGAAATTGTTTTTTGTTTTTTGGAGTTTTGATGAAGTTGAGGAAACGATATGAGCTAGTTTTTACCTCCTACAGTTAACCTAAGTCCATAATTCTATTGAAGACAGATTCAGTGAAGTGAGGAGGGAACTTGACATCATAAACAACCTTCCTGACTCCAACTCTGCTTTCCTGCTTTAGCCATTGAATTCTAAGTCATATAAAATTCAACTCATCTTGCAAATATTCTTAAAATAATCACAAAATTTATGAGTATTAGAAAATTATGCAAACAGATGGTCAATCTGCATAGCCACAGAACAATGCGAAATAAATTGACTCCAAAATTAGCAAAGCAAATAAAATATAATGAAAAATAGTTTGCATTTTATTAAGTTCTGTGCTGATCGTAAATGGTTCTGAAGGGTCGATCATATATGACGTTAAAAGGCAGGGGCGTAGCTAGAAATTTGAGAGCTGTTAAAGATTTTTTAAAAAATTCTAGCAAAATTAAGAAATCTTTGTTTAGTGGTGTGAATCTGGGGCATAGCCAAGAGTTTTTGGACCCCCTCGCAAAATAAAAAGTTTTGAGCTGTACTTTCGCTGCGATATAAAACTCCAGACCCTCCTAGCAACGCTCTTGGTATTGATAGTCCCTCAAATCATCCTGGCTATGTACATTCTCAGAACTAGAAGATTCAAGTAGGTCTAAAACAATTAAACATTAGGAATTCTCTGATATTTTCCTTACCCTCCAGAAAATCGGGTAGCCAGGGGGGGGGGGGGGGATTTGGGTGACAATAAAAATGCAGAAACTCATATGACCTCCCTGCTACCCACCTACTTCACCCAACCCCCCTCCCACCACCAATTCACTCCTCATTTATAAACTTTTTCTCTTTCAAAAAATAAACTTTCAAAATAATTTATTAAATTTGATTTATTTTTTTTTCAATGAAATCTGCCGGCATCTGGTAGTCGTCAGTCAGTTGATTGTTTATAACAAATTTGTAAATTTTTAAACATTAGGTCATCGCTCAGTGCTGCGCTGCGTGGAGTTGATGAGAATATGAGTGCTGGAGAGAAAGAAAATGTTTTTTGTGAGAATTTGAAAGAGTTTTGAGGAGTGCGATTGCAATTCGAGAGGTTCTGCAAAGAGAATGTTTACTTTTTAGTTTTGAGCATTCAAGGTCGCGTTCTCAATTTTCGTATGTTGATCTACTAAATCATATGAAGTGAGATAAATCTTGGTCTGAGTCTGTTAAATTTTTATACAAGAATCTAATGTTTCAGCAATAATAATTCATAAAGATTCAGGTGCGTAGTTTGCAATCAGAACTGAATAAAATGAACCCAATGTTAGCAAAGAGAACAGAGTCCGTTACGCTGTTTTTTAAAGCACAAACATTTAAGGAATGCAATTTCATCACAGTGATTATCTTAATCATAAAAACTAGTAGGAATGTTCACTAAAATTACAAATTACTCGAAAAATAATAATTCACAACGAATTTTTTTAAAAATAAGAACTTCGAAGATTCGATTTTCGAAAAATAAGAACCTCAAAAATTCGAAGTTCGAATAATAAGAACTCAAAATTTCTGTTTGCTAGCATTGGAAATGAACAATATCTCAACCATCTGTTGTGCCTTAATTTTATGTTGATTACAAACTTTAATATAAGCTATCAATAATGTCTCGATCTACAAATGCTTCTGGCTAATTCAACGTCTGCCCCAACCACCTCCAGCACCAATATTGCCTCCTATACCGGCACCTGCATTCATTCCAACTGAAAAAAAAACATATTTTAAGATTAAAAATATTTAAAAAAGTTTAAATCATCTTTATAACTTGCCACCAAATCCAGCATTGATTCCTGAACCTAAATTTGCTCCAATTTCACCACCAGCTTGTGCATTTCCTCCAAATCCTCCACCTACTAAAAATCACGCAATTATTCTCAAATGATTAAAAATTATTTAAGAATAGTCACATCCAAAACCACCTCCAGCTTTTTGATTTCCAGCTCTGTTTCGACTTCCTAAAATTATTTTGAAAAAATTACATTTTTTTATAAAAATATTAGAATCTCACCTCGTTGAGCTGTAGAAAAGCTTAATGCAATAATCATAAGAATAAAAATCAATCTGAATTTCATAATTTTTGACTTTTATGTTCTACTTTTGTAAAAGACAAAGCAGCAACTGATGAAATTAATTGAAAATCTTCTCAATTTTATATCCGTAAAATAAAATGAAAATCAAATTTTCCCATAAAATCCATGACAAAACGTTAAATATCACTTTTTAATATTACTTAATTTATCTTAAGATCATGGCAATTGAGTATAACTACAGAAAATTGTGAGAATGCTTACGATAGTCAAATAAATCTTTTAAGAATCTAAATTGTGTATAATTTGCTTAAAATGATAAAATCTGATTTAAATATGAAATTATAATTTTAATCTTACTCAAATATTGCTTTAACTTCAAGCATAAAATCCTAAATAGCAGCTTGCATATCTTCAAATGACTATTAATCATTCTCTTTCTTTACAGCACTTTCTGGAGTAATCTTGTCATCAATTAACATTCAAACCCACAAACCAGCTATCAATCAACATGATCACATTAGTTCTGGCAATCATTGTCCTTCTCTTGTGCCTCTACTTCAAGTATGAATACAGCTTCTGGTCCCGTCACTCAGTTGAAGGACCTGCACCAGTTCCAATTTTTGGAAATTTCCACGAATACATTTTGACTAAAAAGAGGCATTTTTTCGAAATTTATCAGGATATTTATGCGTGAGTAGGTTTTGAAGGTTTATGTTTTTGGGGCTTAATGAGAATTGAGTTCAGTTGGCTTGCTTGAGAGACAAGATCCAATTAAGTCATAGATAAACCGAGCATTATTTCACAATTGATACTAATCTTGTCTAATAGCGAACAATGCTCAACATCACTGAATCAAAAGCTCAAATGCAGTTTTGGACAGCCTTTTTTGTACAATGGCACCTTTGGTAGTAAGCCATGACTGAACCCATCCGTCGCACACTGGCCATCACTGCTCTAACGCATTAATTATCTCAATTCTGATGATTAAATTCAATATTTTTCTTAAAATTCAGTGCCTACCCAACAGCTCGATATGTCGGAATCTACAAAATGGGAAGACCAGCTTTGCTGATTCGTGATTTGGAATTGGTTAAGGACATTCTAGTCACAAGCTTTAACACCTTTAACATGAATGAATTTGCCATTGATGCCGATGTGAGTTTTGTATTAAAATAAATCAAATGTGACTGATTTCTCTGGTACCGTTAAGATGCAGTACAGTTTAGGTACACGACTGGTAAAAGAGAAATCAGCCACTAACCAATATCTTCATAAAATTCAATCAAACCTTTCCTTGTCCTATTTCAGCTTGACCCATTAATCGCAGTCAACCCATTCTGCATCCCCGGTGACGAATGGAAAGCCAAACGCTCCCAACTTTCTCCACTTTTCACTCAAAACCGCACAAGAGTCGCAATTCCATTCATCAATGGTGTCGCTAAAAAAATGCTCGAATACATCGAGTCAGGTCCAGAATCATCAACAATGGAATTCGATGTCAAGGAACTTTGTGCAAAATTCACAACTGACAATGTAGCTGCTGTGTCTTTTGGACTTGATGGAGAGTCATTTACTAATCCTAATGCTTCGTTTAGGAAAATTGGAGATGACATCTTCAAGCCGACATTTATTAATGGAATTAAGCAGCAGATTGTATTGTTTGTTCCATTTATGGCAAAGATTTTGAAAGTTCCGTGAGTTCATTTTGATATTGTTGCGTACTTTTGGTCTATAAAGTTACATTTTAAGGTTCGTGTCCAAGGAAAGTGACAAGAAGTTCCGTGAAATTGTTCAACAAGTTGTTGACCAGCGTGAGCAGGAAAAGTCAAGACGCGATGATTTACTTCAAGTTATTTTGGATCTTCGCGAGAAGCATGGAAAGGAAGAATACAGTGACACTGTTGTCTGTGGACATTCGATGACTTTTTTGGTAAGGAACTTGAACTTTTTGTAAGTTCTTGAATTTTGCAATATTTTTTATAGACCGAAGGCTATGAAACCAGCAGCACAACAATGTCCATGACCCTTTACGAACTAGCTCTTAATCCACAAGTCCAAAAACGAGTACAGCTTGAGGTTGACCAGCTTTTAACTGAATCTAATGGTGAAATCAATGAAAGAGTCATTCTTGGCGCTGAATATTTGGAACAATGCATCATGGAAACTGTTCGTCTTCACTGCCCAGTATTTCATTTATCTAAATTCAGTGTTCGTGAATACGAATTTCCACCACAATTTGAAGGTTCTACAAAGTCACTGAAAATGCCTGGTGGCACAAATGTCATCATTCCTGTTTATGCTATTCACTTGTAAGTTGGAAAATATTTTTAAATTTGAAAATTTTCCCAAATTTTTCTCCATTTTCCAGTGACAAAACCTACTTCCCAGATCCCTTCAAATATGACCCAGACCGCTTTTCAAAGGAGAACAAAGACAACATCCCAAAGTATGCTTACTTAGGCTTCGGTGAAGGTCCTCGCATCTGTCTTGGCATGAAGTTTGGAATAACTCAAGTTAAAGGTGGAATCATCGCCATTTTATCCAAATACAATGTCTTGAGACATGAACTGACTGATGTTCCATTCAAGTATGCAAAATCAACTTTCAATTTGCAGCCTGAAGATAAGGTTATGTTGAGATTTGAAAAGAGGAAGGATGTCATCAATGAGGAATAAGGTAGGGGATTTTAAGGTTGAGTTTGAGGGCAAGTTTGACAGCAATGTCAGTGCTTTAAGTATCAATACTGCATTAATGATAACCTCTAGCCCGAGACAGATAGAGAACCTCAACTTCAACCTATCCTCACCTCACCTGAAATGATCAACATCACAACTAAACAGCCCATTAACTTTATTATGAAAGTTTTATATTCTTTTATAAATTCACAACTTAACAATCTATAAAATAATCAGCTCGAATAAAAAGCATCTTAAACAATCCTGATCTTTAAAGACTTTTCCTGTGGATGGGTGTAGGCAAAGTTACCTTTTTCAGTTTTTATGGTTAAATCAGGAATTATATCCACTCTTTTTGACAGATCTGGAGATAGAATTAGGCGACTTTTGATGTCCGTTGATTTAGTGGAATTCCTACTCTTCGTACGATCTTGATCTTTGTTTTCGTAGTAATCTTCGAATGAGCTTGAAGAATCTTTCTCTGTTGATTTTTTCGCATCACTTTCTGCATCTTTTTGTGCATCCTTTTTTGCATCTTTTTGTGCATCTTTTTCTGTGTGTATGTCTACGTCTTTGTCAATATCTTGTTCTGCATCTCTTTTTGCATCGGTTACTTCATCTATTTTTATATCAGATTCTGCATCTCCTGCTGTGTCCCTTATTGCATCTTGTTTTTTTTCTGCATCCATTTTGATATCATTTTCTACATCTACTTTGTCATTAAGTTTTGCATCAGTTTCTATATCGGTTTTATTAAGTTTAGTTTCATTTTTAGGAAGAGGAACCCACATTTTACCAGTCTGACCAATATATAACCAGTATCCATCTCCCCTATCCTTATCTTTATGTCCTTGTTCCCCCTGAGTTGTGTTTTCTTCTAAACCTTTATCAGTGCTCAAGTCTGTTCCTTCAGAATTCCCTGGAACCAAATCTTCAGCTTTATCTTCAGACGACTGTTTTTCATGTCCTTCAATGACAAATTCTTCTGAACCTTCTTCAGTTTTGCTCGAGTCTATTTCTTCGTAATGTCCTGGAACCCATTCTCCGGACCTTTCTTCTGAGGACCTTTCTTTATGTCCATCGATTGGGTCCTCGTCTGGACATTCTATTTCAGTGTTTGAGCCTGATTCTTTGGATTGGCTTGAAATCGATTCCTGAGACTTTTCTTCTGAGGATTGTGATCCATGTCCATCAATTAAGTGTTCTTCTGAGTCTTCTATATCAGGGTTTAGGCTTATTTCTATAGATTGACCGGACACCCACTCTTCAGATCTCTCTTCTGAGGATCGTTTTTCAATTGAGTGATCTTCTGACTCTCCTTCATTAGAGTTTGAGCCTGACTCTTTAGATTGACTAGGAACCCATTCACCAGATTTTTCTTCAGAAGATTTAAGTCCATACCATGGACTTGTATATCCATAGTCTTCAGAAGAATCTTTATAATGTGGATCATAAGTACTCCTCCAACGGTAAGTGCTGTCATACCGATCAGTAGTATGCCAATAATAATCTTCTGTGGTACTTTCACTCGAATTTTTTGAAGAATCACAAAATCCTTGAGCCATCTTGTCAAGCATTGGAATGCATTCAATTAATGAACATAATGCTTTCCCAACAATTGACATTGGGTCCTTTAGAGAGTCTAAATTAGATAAGTCAAAGCTGCTAGCTAAAACTGAGGTGTTGAGGAGAATAAGTAGCAAAATGTGGAACTGCTTCATTATTGGTAATTAATATAAACTAATTTGAGGGTTCAGTGGGAGTTTTAGGAGCTTTTATATACAGAAAAAGCAGAACATTTTGATTTTTAAGGTTTGATTTTGTGGAAACTTTTGCAAGGCTTGGTGCCTTTGGATTTGCTATTTTTGAAGGTATGTATGAAGTAAAGAGACGAAGAAGATCTGTGAATGAGTCTTAGTAGGCATTTAAAATTCAGTACGGTAAAATTATTCAAAATATTTGATACAAGTCATTAAATTGCTCGAGATTCAGCTCAACACTTCAAATTTACTTTAAAGGTGCATCAGTGGATGTCAAAACATTATTAGAGACGTTAAAAAACATTAAAAACTTGCTGAAAACATCACAAAACCATTAAAAATCAACAAATTAAAGAAAACATTGAATCAACTCGTAGACTTTTCTGATAACAAAGCGCTTCCAACTTCTAGTAAGTTCCAATCTATTCTCAACTCTCGATGATTCACAAAAACATTCAAGTTTCGTTAAATTTGTAAACAAAACAAATCTTAAGGTTTAAATATTTCTAGTCAAACCAAAGACGACAAAATTGTTGGCAGCTGAAAAATGGGAAATTTGTGCGGACCGTGCTTTAAAGGAAGTGCAGACACAAGTGGTCTGATTACGCCTGACGCTGTAAGATTGAATTTTTAATTTGAAAGTTTGATGATTTTTTGAATGTGAAAGTCTTTGTTTGGTCAATTTTGGAAGTCTTTGTCTTGCAGGGATTCTGGAAATTCTTCAAGATGAATTGTGAATGTCTTGTAGCTCTTGAAAGAGTTTTCATTTTGATTAGTCACAAAAATTCCAGAATTCCATCAAAAATTTGGAACAACTCGCCCAAGGCAACTTAAAACCTAATTGAATCATCTCCAACAACTTCAAATTTAATTAAATTACAGCAAATAAAATTAAGTCAACCCAAAAATAATCAAATTAATGTTCTAGGAAACCCGACGACGTCAAATGGCAGAAGCAGCTGAACGAAGACGACAAGAACAAGAAAACAAAGGAATCAAAAATCCAGAAAGTGTTAAAAGAATGCAAGAAAAGGCAGTAGAAACTGAACGGTTGGAACGAGAACAAGCAATGGCTGGTGGAAATAATCAACCAGCTCTCAAGTGGACTCAAGGATAAGATGGATGTGGTTGATGATGTTAAAGATTCTGAACTGAGAAGAAAAAATTTATTATTTTGTTAAAATGTTATTGGATGTTGATTAGACTGTTCCACTAGTCGAAACTGGTTTATTTACTGAATGTTAATTATTTTTGTTGAACTGGAAAAGACACTAAATTTTATGCACTTTTACCTAAACACATAAAGCAGTTTAAGACACGTTTTTGCAATTATTTTCGTATGTGGACGTGCTGTAGACACCTAGTTCCTAATGACTAGTGCAAAATTTATTGATTTAAAAGAGCAAATTTTAAAAAAAATCATCAAAATCTTGAAAAAATGTGTAATTTGTCTCGAAATTGCAACAATAAAATCTGATTTAACTTAAAAAATCTCATACAAAGGCTCAGACACTCCATAGAAAAATTGCAAAATTTCACAGCCTCAAGATTGACCATCTGATTCATTTTGAATCTTCACATCATATCTGCATTGAATTCACCAAGCATTAAACACTAAATAACAATCACAACTCGCACTTTCTATGAAAAATATATAAAAAATGCTTTTATTTGAGAATCATAATTAGCCATAATAAATGTTTATATGGGGTCGTTCACTTATGACGTCCAAAATAAATAATCATTTTTCAAAAAAAGAACAATTGATTTCCAGGAGTCCTTCCTCCTCTTCTGGACGTCATAAGTGAACTATGTACTTTTATTGATTATAATTGTCTATAAAAAAATAAATTTGCAATAAAAAATAAATTTTGACAATCAATAAATTTTGAATTTTGATCTATTTTTACGTATAACAAGTTGTTCATGAAAGGGTTGTTCATTAATGATGTTGAAATAAAGGATCTTAGACCCAGATTTCAAATAGCAGCTTACCCAAACCAAACCTAGCCATACTAATCAGTATAACTATAGTTTACCCGAAAAGCTAGCAAACATCATTTATGTACAATCCCCAAATCTCCCAACTAATCAATTCTTCACAATACTATCACACTAGTCCATCTTCATAGCTATTTTCTCCTATTTCTGCATCTCTCTCCTTTACAAGCTTAATTACACTAATATCTCAGCTATTCTGATTGGATTTTGCAATCAATCCGATTTCATAGTCAAATCTTCTGACTTGTTCAGCTTTCTGATTAACTTTTATGTTTTGAAGATCGATTGACTTTTGCAGCAAACTTTGAGTTGAACTTTTAATGTACAGCATGTCTGATTTGATCTTTTTTAATTTCATTCGGTAGAGATTCATCTTTTTCATCTGAAAATAAAGAGAATTGTGGCTAAGTTTTGATAAAATTGGGTATCTCTGAGAGTCCTTGTGTCCTAGTTTTGAGCATTTGACGATATTCTTGAAGCTATAGAAGCACCTCAATGTCAGTGTAATCACCCTGAATCCACAATTATCCTAAAAACCTTTTCAACTCACCATCAACTGCGCCTCCATCAGCTCCTGATTATGCGTATAAGCTATATTCATCGATGTAATATTCTCAATCAATCCCTGCTGATTATTAACAAGTTGTTCTAATTGAGTTTCTAAATCTTTTAAGCAATTGAATTCTGATAACAATCCAACTGACAGTGCATCGATTGGTTCCATTTTTGATCGACTTGTTGAGTCTTTTGAGGGTGTGCTTTGTTGATCTGAAAGTGCTGATCTTGATGGTGAAATGTGTTGATCGAGTAATGAGCTTGTTGATGGAATTGGTTGTTGGATTGCTGGAGTGACTTGTTGTTCTGTTGAGATTGGTTGCTGTTCGATTTGTGGAATGGTTGTGGATTGTTCTTGAGATTCAGGTGATTCTATTTGGTTGTTGGTAGATTCCATAATTGATTTTTGTGGTTCTGGAGAAAGCTGTGTGTATTATTGTGCTTAATTGTGCCTTGACCTAATTGTGTGTAGTTCCTGATATGAAGTTTTGCTGTTTTAAGTCGAATCTTTCAAGAAATTCAAAGTTTTTTACGTTAATTTATCCCAAAATCGTTTAAATTTTATAAAATATGTCTTATTTGAGGATTTTGAATTCCAACATAACATTTATTAATATTTTCAATATCCTATAAACTCAATCACATTAAATTCTATTGCACTTTATTGACTTAAAGCCTTTAAATCATCTTAACTATTCAATTTATCAACTTTTCTTATAAATTCTCATAAAATTGAATTTTTATTCTCAAAAAAATGCATCTGAAACCTTCCAGATAATAACAATAATAACTGCACATATCATATGATCGACCTAGAATCGTCAAAAAACATTCGGCAGCAAAAGGTCTAATTTAAATTTCTGAACGCACTCAAGTTTTTGTTTACATAAAAAAATAATTCTAGTCAAATTTTTCAATTTTTGAAAATTATTAATTTTAAGCATTTTTCATGTCACTGGTGCCGAGAGACTCAAGTCAATGTTTTTCAGAACTGCCGGACTGTCTACTAGAGACTATATTCTCATACCTAGGACTGTGTGAAATAGCTAATTGTGCGAGGGTTTGTAAGGTGAGGTGAAAAAATCGATAAAAATTGTACAAAAAAATATTGAAAGATTTTGACTTAAAATGACAATTTCGCAACTTTTTTAGAACTGGAACAGGTACCTAGCTGATGAGAATAATGACATTTGGCGGCTGCAGTGTCTGAGAAAATTATCTGAAAAAGTAAGGACAACTTGAGTCGAAAAAACATTAAAAACTGAAAAAATAACAAATCCTCCCAAATTCTAGGCCTTAAAGTCAGACCTCCTCCTTTCAGTTCCCACATATAAAGCTAAACTTCGAGCATTTTATCACGCTTGGAATCCACTCGACTCATCCAGACACATTTATATCAAACCGAATGCATTCACACTTCATAGAAATCCAGTTGCACAGTCAACAGACGGAGCTAGAGCTAAAATCGGGTTTGAGGCTGGAAGGCATGTGTGGGAGATCATGTGGGAAGGTCCATTAGGGACTGTTGCGATTGTTGGGATATCTACGAAGGATGCGATTCTGCAGTGTCATGGGTAAGTTTGAGATCTGAATTGTACAATGTGCAGGGATGGCGTGGTGCCGACTAAGGACATAATTCCGAATTAAGTCATTTGAGAATGAATCATATTAAATGTTGACTTCTTCCACAGCTACGCACCACTCCTAGGCTGGGACGACCAATCATGGGGCTGGAATCTAGTCGACAACTACCTTCTACACAACGGAGATGCTGGGAACTTCCCATTGTTGACAAATGCCCCGAAATATCAAGTCGGAGAGAAGATTAAAGTCATTCTTGACTGTGAAACTCATTGTTTGGCATTTGAGAAAAATAATGAATTTTTGGGTGTCGCATTTCATAATTTGCCGAGTAAAAAGTTATATCCAACAATAACAGCTGTTTATGGCAATACTGAAGTGTCAATTGTGTACTGTGGATATCCTTTTGATGGATAATTTTTGAGTTATTGTGAATCTAGTCATTTTAATTTGATCTCATTTATTTAAAAATAAATTTTAATTTATTTCCAAAGATTTTTTTTATTCAACTTTTTGTGCATTTTTTCTTCATTTGCTTCACAATTTTTTCAACTTCGTCTCGATCATACAAAATCTTCTTTAAGGTACAAGATTTCTCACGAAAATTTAAGTACTGCAGCTTTTCAAGTCCATCAAAAATGTTTGGATCAATTTTTTTAATTTTATTCCCATCCAGCCACAGCAGTTCCAACCTTTTATTGAATTCAAATAAATTCTCTTCAAGAACTTCGATGTCATTTTGGATTAAGTAAAGTTCCCTCAATTTATAAAAAGGCGCCAAATCACTTTGATGGATTTCTTTCAATTTACATCTATTAATCACAATTCCTGCAATGTGTCTGAAGAATCTCGTGAATCCTTGTGGCAATAAGTACATTTCCTTATCCAGGAACCAAAGTGCAAAGATATTGTTGTTGTCTTTAAAGATTCTGTGATCACCAGACACACTTGTGACTGTCGAGTTCTCAGCGATGATGGTTAGGTTGCCTTGAACTGTACACATGTAAACTCGACCAATGATTAGCCAATCAAAGTCTGTGTTGAACTTGCAGGTGATGTGGATGTTTGGTTGTTGTGCTGAGGTGGTTTTGGGGTTTATGATGAGGATTAAGGAAAGTAATTTGAGGATAATGCTGGAAAATAGAGAAAATAGTTTTGGTATTCCTTATAACAGTGATGGTCAACCCATGTGCTGCGGCAAATTTCAACAAATCTTAGAAACCCTATATCAAGTGCAATTAAGTCATGGCTTACCACCCAGATTTACTTTGGTACAAAAAAGTTTTCCCAACACTGCCTTAAAAGGTCAGCAAGCATGTCAAATGTCCGCAGAATAAGAATTTATTCAAAAATATACAAATAATATCAAAATATTCAATCCAACAAACTTACAGCCGCATTGTTTATGACTAACGAAGCGAAGATAATTTATGTGTTTAATTTTTATTTCACTTTATGCTAGAATCGATCTGTGCTGTGTCTGTTCTCAAGTGGAACTGAATTCTTACTGAAACAGAATTATTTTTTTGGTGGTTTTTTTTCGATTATTTTTCAGAAAAATTAATTTTATTTTCAGTTCCTTTTAATTCTCAATTCACAATGATTTGCATAGCTTATATAAATCAGCAGCTTCCCTAATACGACTAAATTCAACACAAAAAGCTTCAACTTCAATAAACAGTTCCTTAACATTGATAATCTTCTTCCTTATTAAGCTCTGCAAAAACACGCAAAGCAACCGAACAAGTCGATTTTGAAGGAACTTATCCTGAATACTTTCACATGTATTGATGCAATTTGAGATGTAGAGATGAATGAATTCGGATGGAAGATCGACAGTCGTTGTTAATCTATTGACAACCTCAACTGAGTGCAGAGACATTTCCATGTTGACCAAAGCACTCAAATATTCTGTAATTTGTGAGGTGTTCATCAGCAGCAACAAGATTTTAATAGCAATCAATGGATTATTCTCGACTAAGTCCGACAGCTTTGCTGGCGTCAATCCTATGTGATGAACTAGCTCTGAATCTTTTTCAAGCTCATTTTCTAGTATTTTCTGATCCTGCAAGGTTAATGCCTGCTTAAATGCAGTCATTACAAGCTTTTCAATTTCAGTTTCATTACTTTGAACTGCTGTGACTTCATTGTCATAGATTGGCTTATGTCCAACTGGATTTGTTATGTCAAACCAGACAAGTTCATCTTCACAAGACAATAGTGGTGGTGCAACTGTCATAAATTGTGGTCCAAAGACACTTTTGAGTGGTGTGTCACGTCTGAAGAGACCTTCCATAAGCTCACGGATTGCTGAGTCAGAGTCGCTGGAGCTGAAATGATTGGAAAATTATGTAAAAATTAAGAATATTTGAGGAAAAATTCATGACTTACGATGGTGCCGGCATGACATTCATAATGTTGCTTTTGACATTTGCTGTTATTTCTTTGTCTTTTTCGACACACAGCTTTCGAATGTTGGATAGGTCAAATGGAATTGTGAGAAGCTCGGTTGTTTGCTTGATGTGATGGGGTGTCTGCTTGCAAAGCTAGAATGAGAGATTTTTATGAAATATGAGCATGTAGAGCTCTTTCGATGGTTGGTTTGCTGAATAAATATAGAAAACACTTAATTATTGCCCTGCTTACTACAAAACAGTCACTAGGACTGAATGGGTGCCCTGACAGCATTACGACAATGTTCTTATACTCAAGAATGAGATTTTGCCCCTCAAACTCAACTCATAGAACCAGCATGCACTTAATGAGCTTCCCAAACATTAAACCCTCATACTTACATCCTTAGTTCCACTAGACAGCAGTTGCAATATGAAATTCCTCTCAACAGTCGTCAATTTGTAATCTTTCGACTCAACCAACTGATACAAAAAGAACAGGAATGGCGAGTCTCTTGGAGACGGTGAAACTTCAATTGGATCATCATTCCTGAATATGTCATACAAGATGTAGTAAGCCACAAGTCTGTTGTTAGTTTCTGGTAAGTCACTGTTTCTGATTAGCAAGGATCTATGAAAAAGTGTGTAAAACTGTCAATTCTTACTTAATAATAAGCAGGTGCATCCAAATACTCACAATAAAGTCCCGACCGAGATAAAATCATTTTTCTGAAACTTTTTCTGTACGTGTGCCGAAATTGACTCAAAACTTTGATGATCAATCGTCTTTTCACAGAGTAAATTGTGGAGGAACAGGAAATCCGCAAGAATTGGAAGTCGATGCATTTTGATTTGTGGCTGTTGACTGTCTTATTGAGATATTGGAACTTGATTTACTGTTTTTGAAAAAGTTTTTGAATTTTTATGTTGTGTTGTCGGATGAAAGAGTGTATATAAGTCGGATAAGTGAGGAAGTTGGATTGTTGAGAGAACTGAAATGATGAAGATATTTAAGATTTTTGAGAAATTTTAGGATTTTGAAGAATTGTTGGGGAGTTTTGAGGTTATGGAGTAGTAAATATGAGGGATATGCGTGGCACAACGTCTAGATCAATAGCTGTCATTCCTTAAAATCATCAAAATTCATCAAAAATTCACAAACTTGATTCAACGATATTTTCAAAAAGTTTCCCAACCTGAACCGGTTCAATGGCTCAATCAGCTCTTGTTTATGTTTTGTTCATCAAAAAGTGAAAATTTACTGATTAAAAAAATTGTGAAAAATCAAAAAAATTCAACCTGTAGCTACAAAAACGGCTTTAATCATGAATTTACCAGCTTAATCACATCAAGTATTACTCAATTAATTCCAGAGTAGTCAATAATATTAGAATTATAAGTAGGAATATAGCAAGAACTTAGAATAACAATGAGTAAGTTGTAAAATATTAAATTTTTCTTCTTAATCCTCAATTTTCAACCAATTCTAGTCGAGCAAATAAAGAAAATTGAAGAAAGCTGGCTCAGCCTCGATTCTATCCGAGATGTCATCAGATTCACACAGACCAAATCACTTAAAGACTTCCTCCCAATTTGGTGGCACATCTTTCTATGGCACTGTGTATCATCAATTGTCATTTGTGGAATTTGTGGAACAATTTGCTTCTATTTGCTGAGAAGACACAAATTTGGAAGATTTTTCTCAATTCTGATTGTCATTTGGGGTGTTTTGTCACCGATTGTTCCTGGCGTGATTTCATCCATTTTCATAGCTTGGATTCAGTCTGTGTCTGTGGCTATATCTCCGCTAGTTGCATTCTTTTGGGGATGTGGATTGACTTTGTTGGGAATATTTTTGGGGGTGACAAGGATTTTGGCTACTTTGTAGGGTGTGAATAGACTGAATGAGATTCTAGCAGTTACTCTTAAAAAATAAGTTTTGAATTTGTGTAAAAATTGCAATTATTTAATTTATTTTAAGGATTTTTATTGAATATATTGGAAGACTTTTATGTTATTTTGTGTAGTTTGTAAGGTAAAAATTAATAAAAATTGAATCCAAAGAGAATTATTTCAATTCATTTACATTCCAGTACTTTTTTTACTTTTTTTTATAGTTCATGTTTCTGTTAACCTGGTTGAAATGTTTTAAACTGAAGGAATCTAGTCGAATAATTATTTTTGTAGATTTTAGTAATTTTTTTACAGGTTTAATCTCAAAAAAATTACTAAAATTCACCAAAAATACAATAAAAATGAAATATTGTTAAAAAAAGAATCAAAAAAGAAAAAAAATATTTTCTTTTGCCTGGGTTTGAACCCAGGACCTTCAGTACCGAAGGCTGACGTCTTATCAGTTGAGCCAATGAAGCGAGTAGCATAAAATTTATTAAGTTGCTAATTTCTTATTTAAATCTCGACTAGATCTCCAAAATTCAATAATTTATCTTAATTCATGTCTAACTGTTGACTGATTCACATATGGTTGTCCAGCGTTTGGAAGCATGGCAAAAACCCATCTTCAAAAACTTCAAGTACTGCAAAACAAATTCTTGAGAATTGTTCTCAATAAAACAAGATATGAAAGGATCACCGATCTTCATACAGAAGCGAAAATACCGTCCATCGAAGACTACGTCGGAAAGTTGCAAGCGAACTTCAACAGTCGTCTTGCATCTCAAAACACCGAATAAATCAAATGAAATACAAAAGAAAGTAAAATCCGTAAATGAAATCAAAATTAAGAGACAAAAGGCAAATTGAATGCCTGAAACCTTAAAACAAAAAGCAACAAAATGTATAGAAACTTTGTACATACTTAAATTTAAATGTAAATAAATAAAAAGTTTAATTTAAAAAAAAAAAAAAAAAAAAAAAAAAGTTGACTGATAGTCAGTGTGTAGCTAAATTGGCTTAAAACTCAAGCGTGAAGGCTCAAAAAATGTTGATTCTACCTAAAACTATTGAATGAAGTTTGAAAATTTCTGTAAATTACAAATTAATCAACCAATTAAAAAATTAAACAAAAACTTATCAAATCCCTTCTAACTTTGTATTCCAAGAAAATTCTCATAACGTCTCAAAAAAATTCAAATTTCTCAACTGCATAAACTTTTTTTTTCGTTATTTCCAATCGACAACAACAAAAAGAGGGTGATTAACCTTCTCAATGTTTACATTTTTTCTTCATTCTCATTGCATTCGCATTTCAGTCTAGACAATCTTATTGTTGTGTTCATTTGTGGTTTTTTTACAATTTTTCTCATCTATTAAAAAATATTTCATTACAATTAAAGTTAATTTAGCTTAATTTTGACGCAATTGAGATGACAAACACAGTCAAATCGGCTGAAAATGAGTCAGAAAATGTAAAAAATTAAATTTCAAAAAGTTTAAAATTATAAATTATAAAAATTTCCTTTCACTTATTCAGGACGTTTCATCATCGACATCCGAGTCACGTAGTCAATCGTCATCGAAACAGCGTCGCTCAAAAAAGGCAAAACGAGGCCGTAAAGGCAATCAAAATCCTTACAAATTTGTAACTTACCTCACCGAAACACCAAACACACAAATTTTTGCAATTGCATTCAATCATTTTATTCGCGATCGTGACATTTTCGCATCGGCCAATGGAAATAAGATCTCAATTTATGAATGTGTTGATGCGGATGACGAGCGTCCAGTGCAGTTTTTAAGAGCTTATATAGAACCAGATAAAGATGAAGTTTTTAATTGTGTTGTGTGGAGTTATGAAAGACTGAATGGATCGAGTACCGCTGGACCAATATTAGCTGCCGGTGGTGTCAAAGGAATGGTTAGAATTGTGCAGTGTAATAGAGATAGTATGGGAGGATTTAAGAATCTACTGGGACACAGTAAGTATTAGGTTCATGAATTTAATGTGATTTGAGGGTTGGATACAGTCATTGGTCCAGTTTCGAAGTGAACTGGATGATCATCTAGATAAACTTGGTTATTTGGGTCATTTTGAGGGCATTCATGTTTTTTTGAGGTTATTTTAGTCATTTTGAGGTTAAATTATTTATTTTGAGGTTAAGTTGATCATTTTGAGGGTTAATTTTTCATTTTGATGTTTAAATTGGTCCCTTTGAGGTTAAGTTGATCAGTTTGAGGTTAAGTCGATCATTTTGAGGTTAAGTCGATCATTTTAAGGTTAAGTTGGTCCTGTTTAAGGTTATCTCCCCTTCTTTTGAGGTTAAATTAACCATTTAATGACCTAGATTCACCAATTTCCCTAAATCATATCCAAAATAACTTTAATCTAAATTCTCATTTCAGCCGGTGCAATCAACGACATGAAATTCCATCCAATTCATCCACACCTCCTCATAAGTGGCAGTAAAGACTACTCACTGCGTCTCTGGAACATCCAAAATTCAACATGTATCGCAATCTTCAGTGGCATTCGAGGACATCGTGATGAAGTTCTGTCTGTTGACATGTCAGCCGATGGACGAACAATGATCTCAGGAGGAATTGATCATAATATTATGGTATGGAGTCTCGAGACTGATGAGCTAAAAGAAAAAATTGATGCTTGCAGCTCTGTTGATGGATTTGGTCGAGGAAAGCGTCCATTTGCAGCAATTCGAGTGCATTTTCCTGAATTTTCAACAAGAGACGTCCACGGCAATTATGTCGATACTGTAAAATATTTTGGATCAAGCTTTCTCAGCAAATCATGTGAAAATAACATAATCTGGTGGAAACGAAAGGAAACGCCAAAAGGCATGCAAGTTTCAAAACTTTTTACATTCGACATAATTGATAGTGAAATTTGGTTCATGAGAATGGAATTGGACCTTCAGCTGACACAACTTGCAGTTGGCAGTCAAAATGGAAAAGTTTTTATCTTCAATCTGGACACGGAAAAGCCAATAAATAAACGAATTACAGTCACACATCCAAAATGTACATCACCAGTGAGGCAAATGTCATTTTCAAGGAGCGGAAATATTCTAGTGTCAGCTTGTGATGACGGGACTGTGTGGAGATTCGATAAGAAGTGAGGGGCATCATTTGGGGTAACAAGGGGTTCAAAATTCATAAAATTTATGACTTAAAAGTTTGCAGGGACTAGAAAATTTTGGTTCAAAATTTTGTTAATTAAGTTTTTGAGTATTAATAATTAGAGAAGACTTTGGAGGGAGGGTTTGATGGACAACTAAGGAACAATGGGAACAAAATGTTCAATTTTAGAATACCATATTAAGAATGTTAACCAATAAGACTGTAAAATTAGCTAGAATGGGATCAAGAAATGAACAAATGTGAAAGAAAGAGGAACAAATGAATTTTTGTATTAAATGTTTTAGGATATAAGTGGTTATGAGGGGGATAATGGGGGGGGGGGGGGGGGGTTCTGTTGATACTTGGTGAGGTTCTAGGAGTGATTAACGGGAGTTGGGATTTAAAAAAATGTTTAAAGTTGGTTCTGGAGGTTTATCTTGAGTCATACACTTGATTTACTACACCTAGGACCCTGTGTTGCATCAAGAACTTACTTGAGAGTTGCTCCTGCTCATAGGAGGAGGTAGAACTGATTTTTCTCAAAGTAACCCTCAAAAACCTGCTTCCAAGTATCAACACGACAGCAAACCTAGCCAATAAATCTGAAATTTAAGTTACTAAGCATATACTAAGTGCTTTTATTTGTATTTTAGTTAATAAATCTAGTTTAAATTAATTTAATTAAGTTTTCCATTTTTACATGAATCCTAGTAAGTACCCACAAATTACCGTAGTTGTTTAAGTTTATCACTGCCAATAAATTCATTTTGTATCTTTAAAAAAAACTCGCAAAATAAAAACAAATTCTTTTTCTCATAATCATATTATTGAATTCTTATTTTATTATTTTTCACTTTTTTTAAATAAACTAGCATGAAGTTTTATTTTCATTAAAGAAAAATAAACAAGACAAAAAATTAAGACTTATTTCTACTGACTTTCTTTCTACAAAAAAAAAATTTCTTTCTTTTTTCCATTTTTCAACTTTTCAATTATAATATTTGAATTTTACTTCATTCACACGCTGTGCGCATTCATTCGTTAATTTTTGATAGAACTTTTTTTTAATTTTAAATTCTTGGATTAATTTATTTTGAGGAGCAATTTTGAAGATTTTTGGCTTTTTAAATTTTAAACATTTATCAATTTAATAAAACTTTTTTTAAATGTTTCAATTTCTTAAAATTTAGCTTCCGAAAATTTGTGATCTTTTAACTTTAAAACACTTAAATTTAAAAAAATCAATTTAAAAAAAATTCAATTTTAAAAAAATTTCAATTTTTAAAAATTATTATTTAAAAAAACATTTTTTAAAAATAAAAATTTGAAGATTTGAAATTTTTAAAAAAAATTATTGTTTTAAAAAATAATTTATACGATGTTAAAAATCAAAAAATCTCCAAAAAACTCTCAAATAATTTTCTTTACAATTTTTTCCAGTAAATTTTTAAACTTAAAAGTCGACTATCAATTTTTGTGTGTTGTTCCTTGAATTATTTCACATTAGTGCATTGATACCATTTTTATTGTGGGATAGAATAAAATTTATATAAATAATTTAATGACAAAATAAGCTAAATTAGTAAAGTAGAAGACAAAAAAAAATAATTCGAGTATAATTTCACTTTTTTTGAGGTCAGATGTGATTAATTTAAAAAATACTGCTGTGGATTGATTAGAAGAAAAAAATTAGTAAAAAGAGTGCATTATTAAAAAGGAAGAGACTAAGTAGTTAAAAGTTCAGAAGTGAAACAATTGCTATTACTAAACCAAATTCCTATGACAGTCAGCTAAATTCTAACAAGATTTTCGACATTTTGCTGCTAAACAGAAGGACCTTAAGTTTATTATTAACAAAATATTTTTTTCAGTTTAAGTGCAAAATATGGAAAACTATTTTTTTTTGCTAAGACAAATTAATCAATTTTATAGATTCTATCCTGATTATATTCAATTTTTTTCGAGACCTTAGCTGAATGGCTTCAAAGGACAATTTTCTTTTTGACCTTTTTGTAAATTTTTGGAAATGATTTACAAATTTTGATTTTTTTTGACTAATCTTTTTTTAAGACAGAATTTTATTTTGGCTCATTTTTGTGATAGCTTGGTGAATTAGGCTATTCTAGGGCAGAGCTCGAAGTCGATAAAATTTTGTATGGAATTAAGTCGACTCGGAGTTAACTCTGCCATATTAAACAGATGAAAATCTCGAGTCGATTTCGAGCTCTGCTCTAGGATCCTCTCGATCTAGTTTTAGGTACCATACTCGATGTTTTTAACGAATTAAAGCTTAAATATTCTTTAAGTGCACACTAGGCTGTACCTAAGGTCACATTCTAAGACATAACTTAAGGTAGTTCGTACCGTAAGATAATCCCGTGTTTAGTTGTGTTGGCACATGGTCTTAGGTATAGCTTAGTGTAAACCCTAACAGCATCCTATGTTCCAGTTCCATTTAAAAGCCAAAACATTAATTCTGTCATTTCTAAGACGATTTTCAATATTCATATCTATAATAACTAAGGAGGAGGGGGGCTAGGCTGTTAAATTAGATCTTAAAAAGTGCTACAGCTAGTTTTCAACTAAGTTCTTTTAAACAGTCAGTTTTGCCGAGCAGCACATGATTTTCAAGACTTCCTGGGAGCTTTCAATCTTCTTGTGATTGATTATGCTATTCGGTGCTTCAATAAAGTCTAAAAATCAAAAAAACCTCACTAGAAGTAAGCACATCATGAGCTACAGCTTAAGTAGCAATACTTATCAAAGTTGAGGCTATGCTGCTCAGCATCGATTACATTTTATAAAATACTTGTTTTGATAATATTTGAGTGAAAAAACTTAAAATTGAATATCGTTGCTGATTATTTTGTTCTTTTCTTGTTATATTGAAAATATTTTTGTAATGCTTGCATTTTTTTTCTTTTTTTTGTTAAATGTTATTACAAAGTTTTTAAATTTTTTGGGGTTTCGTTTTACATATTTTTAAAAATTGTGAAAATTGGAGATCAAGACGGGGTTCAGAGATTTTATTGAGATTTTCTAAATGAGTGTCCGAGGCTTGAATCGCACTTGATTGTTTGGAATTCTTTATCTTGTGTTGCTCGGGTATATAAAAAGCTCAACTGATGTTACACTCAGTTAAATCAAATTGCAACACGTGACCTTACTCAAAAGTTCCTCTCTCATGATTTCGACAATCTCCAAATTTCCACAAATTTTTCTTGCAGTTCTCAATTTTCATCAGGAACGAATTTTCTGGTTTTTTGTCATTTTTACTAAAAATTGTTATTACTTCAAAAAAACCTTTATTTTTTGCGTTTTGCATGATTTCTGGAGTTTTTTGAATTTTTAATGAGATTTTAAAGCAATTCTAAAGTTGAAGCATGGATGTAGAACTTATAATATTATACTTCACTCATAAGGATCAAAATGTGGATCCTGGTATGACATAACCTCAAATTTATCACTGTTGTGCCTTTATGAAGGAGTCCTTCCAACCTAAAGGTGAATAAACTAAGCCAGAGTCAGAGGATGTTAAAAAATGACTTCAATGCCTTCATATTCCCTTCAGCATTCCCTCTAGTTCTTAGCTAATCACTAAGCTAAGCAATCAACTCTGTGAAACTATAGAACTGTACTTAAATATCCAAAATCCAGTCCAGAAACTCTGCATCTTACATTTTGCATTGTGTATTCTATTCTAATCTATTATCCATGATTATTACCTTTAATAATTCTATTTCTATGCTTTCATTTTGTTTATAAATTGTAATATTCACTTTTAAGCTTCTAAATTGTGTTCATCATTTACTTGTTTTATTATTTACTTGATTAGTAATTTTATTCTATTTTCTATTACTTTTTTATATGGTTGATTATAAGGTTTATAATGGACATGATGAGGCTGTTAAGTCAGTGATTTTTTGCTTTCCTATTACATTCAGGATTCGGATTTATATTGACGTGGCTCAAGCCTTCATCATGCTTACTAGAGCCTAATCAACCATACGGATTGATTTAATCCAATTTTATATTTAATCGGGCAGTATAAAAATTTTCTTATTTGCATTTCATTTTTCATTACGTCAGAAAAAAAGACAGGAAGAAGAGCTTATGTTGTGTACCGATTTCTTTGCTTTGCGGCTGCCAGTGATTTTTATAAAAATTTTCAATAATTTTAAAATGTTTTTTTTGGTTCAAATATTTTTTCCATTAATTATCCGAAATTTTTAATTTTTCAACAAAATTCATTCACTTTTTTTTCTCCAATTTCACTCAACTTTTTCAACTATTTTTTGTTTCTCATTCCACAAAAAATTTTTTAATTCAATTGTTTTTATTTATCAATACGGTCTATACTACAGGATTAACTGTATATTTTTTTTGTCATAATAAATTAGAAATTAATAATAATAACTAGATTTAAACTTCCATTTTTTTTTTGTTTCGAGTTGTAAAGAAATAGGAGATAGTATAGAGTATAAAAAGAGCATAAAATATTGTTTAGAGAGATTTGTTTACATATTGTATGCAACATAAATTGGATCTAGTTGATCGGCTAAGAAGCCATCACGGAGATGCATTCGTTGCTTTTCACCTCGGCTGTTGATTGGAACGACACCTGGAATTTCAGAATTTTTCAAGGTTAAAAAAATATTTTTGAACTGAACTTATCCTTTCTTTTTTCAAACTAAGCTCATTTCTTGAAAGATTCAACATTATCTGAGTTTATCCTTTGAAGTTCTCAATTTTAACTGAACTTGCCCATTGAAATTCTTAATTTTAATTGAGCTTTTCCTAATTAATTTTGAATCTTAACCGAACTCATCCCTTAAAAATATGAATTTTAACTAAACTTATCCTTTAACAGTTTTAAATCTTACTTCTTTGAACATTAACCGAACTTATCCCTTTAAAATTTAAACATTAAACAAACTTATTTTTTTAAAATTTTAACATTAACTGAACGTATCCTTTTAAAAAATTTGAACACTAATTGAACTTATCCCTCATTTTTTAAATCTTAACTGATCATACTCATTTAAATTGTAAGTTTTAACCGAACTTAACTTTAAATTATGCAACCCCTAACTGAACCTATCCATTTGCACTTGAATATAAGCAACTATCAACTTACCAGGATCAACAATCACAACAACACCAACAATCAACTGATGCTCCTCAAGTACCGTACTCGTAATCAACGGCACCAAATCCAATGCTTCTGACTCATTACCATCTAACTCAGCAACAACAACAAGTAGATTTGTCCATGTAAATGTCGCACATTCAGCAATCTTCTTATGACATCTTAGTACGGAATTCTCAATATCAATTGGATGATACATCATGCCACGCAATGCAATGACTTCATCTAAAGCACCAACAACAAAGACAGCAACATGTTGCTCGGTTTGGTCAGTCGTTGAGCAATTGTTTAATGATGAAGATGATGTGATTGTACTTCCTATACCCGTACTAAGTGATGCTGGTGTTGTTTGTGCTGCACCACCTGTTGCCGTGTACATTTGATCATATCCAGGATCTATGTCACGTGCTGCGAGAGCTGGATGTGTCTCTTCGAGTAATGAATACGATTGTGAGCATTCAATGCGACGGAGGAATCCTAAGTAGCCGGTTCGAGCCCATGTTTCTGTTGTCGAGCATCCTGTGACTAATTTTGCATTGAAATGGTCATTGTAGTCAGCCTCGTCACCATAGATTGTGAAGTATCCACTGGAACTGTGAGGTGATTGAACCTGGAATGGAGTTTGGGAATTATTGTTATGAGATTGATTCATGAGGTTAAGGATAAGGTTTTTGTGGTTAGATCATAATAAGGTTTGGTCTAAATGCTAAAAATTGCTCCATTTGATTGATACTAAATATTTTTAAGTAACTTTACAAACAGGTTTTTGATATTTCGATGATTTTAACCTCGAGATAACCCAAACTAAACCCAAAGAAGTCATAGGTTACAAATTAAATCGGCATCTACTTACCCAGATTTCACCCAAATGTGACTCTCCACATTGACCCTTGGATTCAGCATTAGCAATGATTAATTTAACGCCAGGCAATAATTTACCAGACTCGACTAGGCACAATGAATTGGGTGCACCACGTTCAACTAAAGCTACACGATTATTGCGCAATGCGCGGAGATCCACATATACCTACAAGGAGAAATTTATTAATTATTAAAATTGTTCAAACTCTCAAACAAAGTTAATGCTTGAAAACCAAAAGAGCAGGACAGATTTAGGTACTCACATTCGAGCTTTCCGCAGAACTCGCTCCCTGAACACAAATAGCTGGATTAACACGACATCCAAAACTCGTCGAAACACATCGATTATTAAGTCCGAGAGCTTGGAAGAGCTTACAAAATTGCTGTGTCAATTGAACTCGCGGTCTTTCTTCAGCCACAACTACACATGTCCTCACACACCCAAGATTAACATTTCTCTGCTTCAGTGTTTGAATTGAATTGCTTAAAGCTTTCGTACAAAGCTCAATTATTCCATATGAACAGAATGTATCACGAACACGGTATTGCGAGAGAGTTGAGAGCCAAAGTGATGGATTTGCTTCGACCTGGAATGAAGATGTGATTGATTAAGGGTTGATCAGTACAATTAGAGTTAATCATACCTCATAAGGAGCAATCAATATCGAATGATGGCCACTATAGACACTTAACAATGTCCACATACTGAATCCTAATCCACAGTATGGATCTAAGCAAAGAGCAACATGTCTTGATGGATAAAGCTCACATGCTAACTTTAATGATGCACATAATGATGACAATGACTTATGCGAGACTATAACACCACTCAATCGACCACAAGTCGATACTGAAAAATCTAAATATGCAGTTGACTCAAGTGTTGCATTTGCTACAGCAGCTAATTTTCGCTTTGGATTGTCTTCGATATCTAATATTGGTGGCCATGTCTTTGCATCCACTGATGATGCAGCTTCTCTAGATTTTATTAACTTAATGACGCTTTGTATGGATAGAATCATGAGAGATTTAGAGACTTCGACTATCATCTTGACAGTTGGAAGTGTTGTGATTAGATTTTGAGCATGTGGTGGACGAATGACTACTGGAACAGCTCCAATGTACAGACAGCCATAAAATGCTGCGATGAGATCCAAGCCGGGTGGGAAGATTAGAGCTGAAAAAAGGGTGAGAGAATTTTTGAGGTTATGATGATGCATTTTGAGGTTACAAGATTAAGTTTTGAGGTTAGGAAGCCTAATTTTGAGGTTTTGGCGCCAATATTTAAGGTTCGAGATCAAACTTCAGTAACTTACCAACATGATCGCCAGAATTAAGCTTTCCACGCTCTTGTAAGAGTGCAGCTACCTTCTCAGCACGCTTATGTAGTTCAGAACACGTTAGAGTCTTCGCGACAGTTCCTTTTGCATTAAGAAGAGTGTAAAGGACATGATCAGGTGATGAATTGGCTCTCCATCTCAGAACTCCAGTGATTAGTTGATGCTGAAAGTTTAATGATCAAAAATTATGAATGTTATCTTAAATTTGTCATTTCTCAATTATCCTTACCTTATTGTCATCAGTAAATCCAAGATCCCGACCTTGTGCAGCTGCCAACCGATTACCCTGCACTAAATTCCCAACAATTACAGAAGCTGGTCCAACGGAAGCATCTGTTGCGAGAGATGATGAAGCAGTTGAAGTGCCACAAAGTTGCGACATTGAGCCTTTTTTTATTTTTTATTTTTTAACGGTTTTTTCGGCCATTTTTCAAAAACAATTTTCAAATTTCGAATTTATTTTTTTTGGGTAAAATAAGTTTTTTGTGTAATGGAAAAATTCATAATGGAAATCATAAGAATGAGTATAAAGTTACAGATAGAGAGAAAGAGATGGAGAGACATAAAAATTAGATGATGAAAATGAGTGAATTTGTGAATTTTTTTAGTGAATGACATGAAACAAATGCGGTTAAAATTTAGACAAAAAATTAAGCAACAGCAAAAAATTTGTTGTCAATGTGTTAGTGATATGGATGATAGCCGTTAATTTTAAATTTAAATAAACCGTCCACACAATAAGTTTAAAAAATTTTGAATTTTGAGGTTAATTCACCGTTCAAAAAAGGTTGGATGGTTAATTGTGAAATATTTTTTAAGTTTTTTTAAGGAAACATAAAAAGAGAAAAATAAGAAAGAGAAAATTTTTTCAATTAGATATTTTAATTTTTTTTGAGGTTATATTATTATTTTTTTTTTGTGGTTAAAAACAAACTAAAGATTGAGGATATTTTGGGTTAAAATTGGATTTAACTAGGAAATTTAGCCAATTTTTGAGATTTGGTAACATGAGTATCGATGGTTAGAGGATTTTTTGGGGTTTAAGGATTATTGGAAAGTGATACACAAGTGAAATCTTTTCTTGATCATTAGAATCACTGATAGTCATTAAGGTTTCAATTGTGGATCACTTGTTAATTCGCAAAAGCCATAGCCAATTGAGCATCTTAGTATTTATAAGAATATTCTATAAATCAGCTTTTTGATCAATCCAGACGTCAGTGGAACAATATGAGCTTCACTTAAACATTTAACACGATGTCTTTCTGATCAAATAGCCGATTTCTGCATAATTTTAAAAGCTAGTTAATAAAGCCACTCCACACAAAATGATAATAAATAATTAAAATAAAACAATTCCAGCAAAGCTACAAAATGATGGTGAAAGGTGAAACAAATCGGTCTAATTCGAAATCATAAAGAAGATTGCGATAGATTAAATGATAAGAAGAGATAGCGTTGACTGAGTTTATGCTGGTTTTGGAGCCTAATTTCAAGAAAAAATTGAACAATATTTTTTGTCAAATTTTCTTCAATTTCCTCCCAAAAAGCATCAAAAAAACCTTCAAAAATCAGTCAAAATAAAACAAAATTTTACCAAAAAAAAAAAATATAATAAAGCTCAGCAAAAGGATTGGATCAAAAATCATACAAAATAACAATTTTTTAATTCCTGATCAAATCTGACGAATTTTCTCAAATTTTACTTCTGGCCGAATTCTACAAAAAAAAATAAATCTAATTCTAACCGTACTCACCCTGATGAATGTCCCTTGGTTTTGGCAAGTTTGTCACACATGTATGAGGACACATAAGGACATTAGCTGGATGTAATGAACCTTCAAGGAATCTCCGTCGTGCTTCACACAAATGAATTCCACCAAGTGGAGTTTTCGGTAAATGATTTGGTGGCACGAGAGCTAAGCAATAGATTCCAACTTGATGTATTGAATCGACAGCTTGAAGGACTCGTGACATCCATTGGAATGATTCTTCTTCACTACAGTCTGGACGCTGCTCAGCTATGACGCAAACACGCTCATCACGAAGGACTTTGACTGAGAATACAGCAATGCGACCTCGGTAGATAAATCTAAAAATTCAGATTTTTGAGGTTAAGTTCTAAAACAATTTTAAGGTTAAGCTCTTACCTCATCGGTTCAACAGCCAGGACAGTCGCAATTATATCATCAGCATTATGCTTCCTTCCACTAACAGTCATCAAACCATCTCTAGATCCACACACAAACACTAATCCACCTGGCCCCAAGAACCCAAGCAATCCACTTCTCACATAAGGATCATCTCCAATAGGTTTATAAGTCAAGTCCAAATCTTTGGAACTATTATGTGATCCCATTGTTGCCGTTTGACCAGCTGGGATTGGTGGGGTTGTATCGATTAATGGCAGTACTTTAAATGTTGAATTAGATAGACCATCAAGTCCATAGTATCCGGTACCTGTTGATCCTGATGTTACACAAATTTCACCAACTTCATCTGTCTTACAGAGAATTGGAGGTCCTTCTGGCTTAACGACTATCATACTTGCTCCTGGCATTACTTGACCACAGTCTTGAAGTGTAAGTGATGTCAATGAATCCTCAGAATCAACACGAACGACTCCATGAGACAATGCAGCCATAGATAACACACCACGACCAGTTGTTGCTGTTCCTTGATTATATGACATATTTCCTCTACCAGGACGACGAAGTGCAACTGTAAATATCTCACTATCCGATGCACAAGGACAAATTGCATCACTTCTCAATCCTTTCGATGAGAAAACATTAAGGAATTGATCACATGATGACAATGACCATGGATTAGCTCCATCAGCAACAAGCAACATCCTCAGCGATGATAAATTAATGTCTTTATGATCTTTCGTAGCTAAAAGTCCCCAATGGAGATCCCGTGACTTGACAAGACAGCATGATGTTCGGTATTTTGTAATTAGCTGCATCCATGATGATGGACGTTGTTTCATGAGTGCATATGGAATGAATAAGACATGCATACCGTTGAGGACGCTTGTGAGGACTGCATGCCAGAGTCCAACTGAAATTGGAAGAAAATATTGAGGTTAAGGTTTTTTTGAGGTTATGTTTATGAATTTTGAGGTTATGCCATAGAGTATTGAGGTTAGACTCAATATTCTAAGTTTAAATCAATAGTAAAGCTTACCTTCTCTCTTGAAATCCAGCACACAAACAATCGTCTCCCCTTCAGTATAATGACAAGCCATCGTTAATGCACGACAATGTTGAATCATTGACTGTCTAGTAACAATAACTCCCATCACAGACCCCTCCTTATCAGTTGTATACTCAATGTAGGCTGTTGCATCTTCAGTCAATCGATTTGATTGTGGATTATAGTCTTTTGGTACCTTTGGAAGGTGTTCAGTTACGAACCAATGAAGACGTGGCCATCCTTTGAGTTTTGCAACTTCACCGGTTGTTGATTTTGGTAGACCTTTGAGACATGCTTCAGATGTGAGTGCAATTTGGACACCACATGATGAAAGAAGGAAGCCGACTTGTTGTGGTGGGGTATCACTAGTGCTTAATGGCAGTTCAATCGGAATTGGTACTACACCGCAAAACATGCAGCCATACCAAGCAGTTATAAAGTTTAATGGATCAGCATTTGGATAGACTAAAGCAACTCGATCTCCTGGTTTTAATTTAATCTGTTCTGGTCCTTTACTGAACAATTTAGTTGACAATGCGTGGGCAATTTTTTGTGCTCGAGAGAGCAACTTTCCATAAGTCAATGTCGTTGTCATTTTACCATTTGGATCTAAGACAGTTGCCATTGGAGCTTTAAAACTGGAAGTTCCATATCTTTGTAATGCAGCTTCTAGAGTTCTTGGCAATCCAGATGTGATTACAAGCTGTTCACCTTGTACTGGTGTCATTGTAGCACCTTCAGGACGTGGAGCATTTGGATCTTTTGTATTAGCTGCTATTTCTAGTTCAATATCATTGTCTTCATAAAATTCTGGAAGTGGACGACGCTTTGGACGTTTAAGGGTATTAAGAAGCTGTTGGATTTTAGCTGAGACTTTCCATCGACCAGCTGTTGATGTGTCACCAGGTTCTGATGAGGACAGATTGACATAACGTGTTACTCGATCAGCTCCATGGCGGGAACTGTTGAATTGTGTTATATCTGGTTGATCTACAAAAGAGTTTGAATTATTAACGGATTTTTTTAAATTTAAATATTGCAACTTACTTCTTCCAACACTTGTAATACTCAAATCACTAAGTTCAGTAGCATAATCATAACCAGGTGGTGGGGCAATGGTTCTAGCATGTGCAGGCGGTGATCCAGTTGAACTAGTATCACTAATCGGTTGAGCACCAGCGTGTGATCTTCGATGATCTCGTGACGATGATGGAAGCTTAAGTTGCTCTCTGGTAGACACAACGTGATCTTTTGGAAGATTATAGCCAACATCGTGATCTGGTGTCGAAATATTTTCAGGTGTTGACTCTTCAGATGTTGAGTCTAGAATTAGGTAAGAAGATTGGGGATTTTGAGGTTAGATTTATGTTGTTGGAGTGGTTCGAGTACAATTAAGTGTAGATTTGATGAAAATTCTGGATATGAAATGGCTTGAGTCAGCTCGACCCGAGAAGACTGAATTCAGCTCAACTTGAGATAACAAAATTTTACTCGACCCAAGATGACTAAATCAGCTCGACCCGAGCTGACCAAATTCAGCATTTCCCGAGATGACCGAATTCTCAAAAATCTCCACCAAATCTACTATAAAGTTTTAAAGTCTAAAATTTCAGTTAAATAATTTTTGTCTCGTCAAACAATATAAAAAAAAAAAACTAGTGCAAAATTTACCTGAATCATGTTCGTCACCGCGCTCAGGACTTCGATTAAAAACCGATGAGCGCTTTGACGGCATAGGTAGACTTGGCTTTGGACGATTTTTGAGTGCAGCCAAAGCTTGCTGAACAGCTTCTTGTCTAACTTCTATTCTCATTAATATGATTATTTGTTATTTATTTCAAAATATTGCAAGCGTGATTTTGTTTTTATTTATAAAATGCGATGATTGTTCATGATCATGATTTTTTTGTGGTGTGTTGGTGATAATCAGCACAGATTAATCGTGGATGTGCCAAAGGCAATAATGTGAAGTTTTTGTGTGTACAATTTGTTTCGTCAGACAGAAAAGCACAGGATGATAATTTTTTATATCATGAGAATGTTGATGAATGTCAGCATAAATTTTGAAAATATTTTTTATGTATAAGATGAAGGCAGAAGACACAGCAGCGAAAAAAATGTTTTGCAAAGAAAAAAATGAAAAAAAAAGAAAAAAATTGAATTTTTCACTGAGTTTTTAGATGGATAAAAAATATTGTTCTGGTTCTTTTAGATAGAATAAGATGTGAAAATTTTTGTGAGTTGAATTTTAAATTTAGTTTTTTTTATTGATTTTGAAAGCTTGATCTTGTTAGTGAAGAGAAGCTTTTTTACTGAATTTTTTAATGTTGCAGCTTTTTTGTTTGCGAGGGGTTAGTTTGAGCTCTTGTGAGTGTTGTTTTATTTGTATTAAGTTTGTTTAGCTTTAATACACTGCAGATCTGAGAGGACACAATAGTAAGGTACTTGAGTTGAGCTGACTCAGCTCGACCCAATTTAGCTCGACCCGAGAGGAAACTCAGTTCGACCTAAGAGGATCAAATTCAGTTCGAACCGAGAAGATATAACTCAACTCGACCCAAGAGGACCCAATTCAGCTCGACCTAAGAGGACCTAATTCAGCTCAACCCAAGAGTATCTTACTCAGCTCGACTCAAGAGGATCTAATTCAGCTCTACCCAAGAGGATCTAATTCAGCTCGACTCAAGAGGATCTAATTCAGCTCGACCCAAGAGAACCTTACTTAACCTTTACAAAACATCTCAAAAAGCTTCTTTTCACAATTTAAAATCACTTTCTAAAATAAATTCAAAGAATATTCTTACAATCCTTTGAAAATCAATTAGCATAAAAGTTTATGTTTCTATAGGTGCGCAATATAAAAATAATAACAAGAAATTCTAGCATATAAATCAGAAATTATTCATAAGTATATGAAAAAGTAAAAAAATAATCTAGAATGAATCTTCATGCATTCATGCAAACAATGGCATTAAAAATCAATCAACAAATACAAAGTAAGTAAAACATTACCGCTGGTATATCTCGTGTCGTGGTGCCTTCCTGACCGACTTCTATGTCTAACCTCACCTTTAGTCGGCGATTGTGTCTGATCAACCAGCTGTGATGGCACATTATGCTGTATTATAGTCTGCGGCTGTTGCTGTTGTGTTCGATACACAATTGTGGCTTGTTGTGGCTGTGGCGGGTGAGTGACAGCAACGTGCTTTTGTGCTGAAAGTAGTTTTTGTGCTACAAAGTGCTGCTGTTGTCGTTGAAGTTCAGCTGGATTTTTTTTTTTATTTTGATATTTTTGTGGGATTTTTTTTGTGGTTGAGGATTTTTTTAAAATTAAAAAAGAAAGAAAAAACAAACAAAAACTTGTAAAATCAAATCATAAAAGGAAAAATTTTGGCATCGATGGAATGAAATAATGGAAATTAAGCATAGGAGGAAGTTTTTTCGTGTTGGGTGAAATGAAAAATTTAATTTTTGAATGCGGACGAAAAGTTTTCTAATTCGAAGAATGTAAAAAAGTTTGAATTTATTTCAATTGACGTTAAAATTGGATTTTTCGGAATTAAATGGACTGATTTTTTTTTCTTCAAAATTGAATTTAATTTAAAGTTTTTATACATTTTAATTTTAAAATTTTTTTTTGAAGTTTAAAAAGATTCTTTTTGCACAATTTAAAAAAATTTGAATAATTTAAAAAATTATGAAAAGTTTGAAAAAAGATAAAAAAAAAAGGAAAAAAAGGTGAAAAAGTTGTAAAAAAATTGAAAAATGTAAAAAAAAAAAACCTTTTTTTATTTTTTAATAACTCAAGCATTTTTAAATTTCCCGGATCTAAAAAGAGTTTTGAGATATTTTTCTATTACAAATTAAAACCAATAAATTGAGCCAAAATAAATGTACAAACACACAAATTGTAATAAATTTCTACAGTAATATTCTACAAATCTACAAGCCAATCAGATCCAACAACCTATTATTAATTAAACATTAGTTGTGAAGTTAATGAGAAGCAAAATTCTAAAAAACTACTGAAGTGATAAGTAAAAAAAAGTTTAAAACTTTCACAAAACTTAAAAATTCATCATGCCAATCTAAAATTCATGCGATTTAAAAAAAAGTAATTTTTGCGCCCCAAAGAATGTTCATAGTCACAAAAAGTCTTCATCATCATCAATAGTACCTGAATGATAACGTTTCTCATTGTGCGTAACTCTCTTCTGTCCACTCCGACGATGCTTTCCATGTCCACTACTATCCTTCGAATGATGATGATGATGATGATGATGTTGTGCAACAATTGGCGGTTGATTGACGTAATTATGTTGCTGCTCACCACTCCGACGCGATCCTGATGAAGACGATGCTGGTGCGTGCGAGCATTGCGAATTGCCACTATTATTTGCATTCACATATGAATTTACGTAGTTGTGGGAGTCTGGACATTTTGCAATTTTAATTGCGGTTTTGTTGTGGGTGCAAATTGTTTAATTGTTTGAAGGGGGGTTAGGGATTAGCGATAGAGTTTAAGGGGGGAAAGGGGGAAAAGAGAGAGAAAAATACACAAAAAAAATGTTAGCGGAAGTGAAAAACCATCACCGAGTTTGTGTGAACTTTAATGTGTAATATTTTAAGTATCATAGCTTGAATGCAAACGTGATTTTTATATTTTTGAGGTTTGAATTATTCAAAATTTGAGGTTAGAATGTCTAAATTCATACACTAGTCAGTATAATTTATAAATTACAATCACCATAACCAAATTTATGTTTTAAAAAATCAGAGAAAAACGCGCTAAAATTTTTGAGGTTAGAATTTTTGTTTTTGATTTTAAAATGCTTTTTTTGTTCAAAATTGTTAGTTTTCATCTAAAATATCAAAAGCTTGTAATCTTAAAGATTCTATTTTTCCATCATCGAAAACCGCGCTAGCTCTATCCAAAAAAATGTTATTAAAAATATCCGTAGCCAGCTGGTCTACAATGAGAAATTATCTAGCGCATGATTTTTTAATAGTCTTAATTTCCTTCAGCGTATGTGCTAATAAATTAATCCTCAACATTTAATTAATCTCAGCTTAGTATATTAAGAAGAAATCTCATCTGAAGGTCGTAGAATTATTGAAAGAAATTATTTTTAACTTTTTTTTATTATTTCCTCTTAAAATTTTTGCTATTCAAAAATCTTCGATACAATAGTGCTCAATTTTTTTGTATTGAGAATGAAAAATTGCTCTTTTTATAGAAATTTCTTCTTAATCAAAAAATTTTACGAGCATTTCAGCTTCAAGCTTTTCAATTTCAGCTTAATATTGTTCATTATTCAATTTAAAATGCAAAATAAAAATCTGGTAAAACAAAAGCAAATTGATCACGAATGCGAAACTCACCTTGACCTTGACTTGATGCGTTGCCATTGTTGTTGGTTATGCTACCAGTAACAGCTGTGGCACTCAGGTATGGCGCGAGTAGTCGCTGCCGCTTCTTTTCATATCCTTTTTGTGTTATGTCACCTGAGGATTGATAGAATTGAGGTTATGATTATTATGGACAATTGTAAAAATATTTTAAAATTAAGTCATTGCTTTGAATCATTGCCTTAAAATTAAGTCGTTGCTTTGAAGCTTTGCCTCAAAATTAAGTCGTTGCTTTAAATCATTGCCTAAAAATTAGGTCGTTGCTTTGAATCATGGTCTTAAAATTAAGTCGTTGCTTTGAAGCTTTGCCTTAAAATTAAGTTGTTGCTTTGAATCATTGTTTTAAAATTAAGTCGTTGCTTTGAAGCTTTGCCTCAAAATGAAGTCATCGCTCTAAAGCCTAACCTCAGTATCAAATTAAACATCATGTTTAATAATATTCCAGTCATGCACACTCTCTCTCCGAAAAGAAAGTCTTGCATCAGCCACCGACTGCACTTGAAATGAGCACGCCTTTCATAATTGAATGAGATGTTAACATAAAATAAAAATATTTTTCATCCATTGCATGAGTTTTAAACCTGATGAGCACGTGTTTGAATATTAAATTGAAAATTTTAAAAATTTCTCATTATTCATGTAGTTGCTTCTGTCGGATTATTATGTAGTTTATAAATGAAAAATGGGAAAATTGAAGTCATTTAAGCATTTAATTACATGAGTTTAGAGAAATGGTTTGTGGATTGATGAACTCTTTTTGGGGATTCGTAAGTGGAAAATTTCTTGTGTAAACAGATTTTTGAACTGAAATGAAGAACGATTGATGAGTTTGATTGTTGAAATATAATGAAAGGATTCAGCTTTTGATTCTGGTTAATCGATGCTCACTGATCAATAAACTGAGGGTTTGCATCATTAGTAAGCTACTTGGTCAATTCAATTGTCCAGATTTTTTAACCAAATGAAATGAAGAACGATTGATGAGTTTGATTGTTGAAATATAATGAAAGGATTCAGCTTTTGATTCTGGTTAATCGATGCTCACTGATCAATAAACTGAGGGTTTGCATCATTAGTAAGCTACTTGGTCAATTCAATTGTCCAGATTTTTTAACCAAATGCAGCTTTAGTTCAACAAAAATCAGAATTTCAAATTTTTTGTTTACAAATCCACTCGAAATCACAGTTGACTGACTACATCTCAACCTAATCTACAATCATCCATCCTTTTATCTTGCATCCTTAAAGGACTGCAATTAAATTCTAAAAATTCATTGTTGACATTTGCCAATTACAAAATGTTCAAAATAATGAGCTGCAAATGGCTAAACGTTGAGTAAACTTGCATAACTAGTGACAAAAAGAACTATTCTTCTACCCACATGTTCTCGCATGTCTGTCGCTCGTAATTTTTTATTTAAATAGAAAAAGTGCAAAAAATAACCGTTCAGAGACTATGTAGTAGTGATTATTGAATATTAGATTTTTAGGGATGTTAAAGTATGATCTAAGGCGTTGCTTTAAATTTTTATTATTGCTGAAGAATTAATTCGTTGCTTTAAAATTGAGTGTTTGCTGCAAAAGTAAGTTGTTGCTTCAAAATTAAATCGTTGCTGGAGTATTAAGTCGTTGCTTCAAAACTGAATAGTTGCTGGAGTATTAAGTCGTGGCTCTAAAATTTAGTCATTGCTTTAAAACCAAATCGTGGATTTAAAAATAAATCATTCATTCAAAATAAAGTCGTTGCTACATAATTAAGTCTTTGCTTCATAGTTAAGTCGTTGCTTCAAAGTTAAGTCGTTGCTTTAAAACGGAGTTCATTTGATTATCCTAAAGAACTTACACATCAATAAATTTACAATCAAAAAAAGCCTCATTAATTCTCGTCTCACTTTCTCACTTCAACCTCACGAATCTACTCCAAGCGTTAATAGCAATGATAGCTTCTTCTTAACAGCAAATAATAATCAGGTTTCGAGGCGTTGATGTGACAAATAAATACGAAAAAAAAAATCTCATCTATTATGACAATTATCTTTCATATATCTCACATTTCAGCATTTTTATTCTTCAAATGTGTAATTCATATTGTGTTTATCTCGTTCATCATTAGCTCGCGATATGCCGAGCTACTTCACACTTGGAGAAATGTTTCTTTATTATCATTATTTTGTGTAGAGAACTTTTTTTACTGTTGCTACTTTTTATTACATTATCGCACATCATAAAAGAAAGTTTTCTTATTTACAGCTGCATTCAATATTGTCAATGTTGGACTTAAATGCGATAATGAAGTTGAATTGAGTGACGTTGATTAATGGAGAGAATTTGGGTTGGTTTATGGCGCATTTTAATGGATTTTTTTCGTTTAAAAGTAGTTCAATTGCTAGGTTATCTTAAGCTGGAGCTTAACTATGGGTACTAATTCTAAGAATATGCTTCTTGTATTACCAAGAGTGCCCATTGAAGCTACGTTAGACTTAACCATTCAGTTCTACCAAGGAGAGTTCATATCCTCGTTTGAAACTTGATCAATCCAAATTTGATCTTTTTGGATAATCCAAAGCTCTCCAGACAAAACAATCAGCTATACCAAAACATCAACAACACTCACTTCATTTAATTCAACTTTATCATTTTTATTATATTGTAAACTAAAAAAAAAGAAATAAATGTGTAACGTGAGATGCATAAATTAGCACAGTTGATGTGTTGCGATTATTATTGTAGTGTGTTAATTATTAACGATAACGAATTTGAGTCATAAACATAATTTCATATTTTTTTCTGTTTTATTTTTTATTCGTTGCTGCATTTCTTCGTCTTTTATTTGACACTGTTTTGTCGGTTCTTAATTTGGTGAACGAAGTTTTGTGATGGAATTTTATTGACATTGATTTTGAGTTTTAAAGCAATGACTTGATTTTAAGGCAGTAACAAAGTTGGGAAGCAACAACTTAGTTTTGAAGCAATGACTCAGTTCTGAAGCAACGACACAGTTTATAAGCAACAACTAGGTTTTTAAGCAACTGAATTTTGAGGCAATGTCTCAGTTTTGAAGCAACGCCTCACTTTTGAAGCAACGATTCTAATCCAGCATAAAAAAGTTATTGACTTAATTTCAAGCATTACCTCAACAAATGGTAATAACATCCAAAATAATAGAGCAAAAAAAATCTTTCAACTCACCTTCCGACAATTCCAGTTCCAGTTCAGCGAGTTTTTCTCGCACGTCATCGGGCAGTGTTGAGACATCCATGTCAGCAGATTCTTAACGAATTTCTCAACAAAATCTTCTGCCTCTAAATTAATTTCTTAATTATATTTTCCTCGCCTATTCTTACTTCACTTAATTCTCACTTCTTGGAGTTCTTCTTTCCCGAAAATTCCGTCAGTTCCGGTAGCAAAATTTGATTTGTCTCGCTTCTCTCGATGGAAGCTAAACAGTGGAAAATTTCAAAATTAGTCAAACTTTTTTCTTATGTGCTATAAAATGTGATTAAAAAGAATTTCAAAATTCACATCTGAGTAGATATTTTTTTTTTCAGCTTGTAATTTTGTTGTTATTTATAATCATTTAGCGACTGCATAAATTTTTCTACATGGCTTTGTGCCTACACATGTCTGTTGAGAGATTTTTTTTTCAGGTTGAGATATTAATTTTTGTTGTTGTATTTTGGCTATAAGTGTAAATTTCATAATTTAAAATGAATTGGAGGTTTAAACTTGTGGATTTTGGATTTTTTTTGCTAGTTGCAGCTTTAAGTGATTTTAATGGCTTTTGTGGACTGGATTTAAGCCAGAATTTTATCGAGAGTGGGTTCAGCTTCTAGAGTGGAGCTTTGAGCTTTTGAGAAGGTGATTTTTTGGGACTTGGAGCCTTTTCTGGCCTACCCTTTAACACAACTTCAAGACTGTGGCCATGTGACTAGGTTCTATAACTTCAATTAAGTCACTATGCTCCCCATTTACACCAACCATCATCAAAACTCATCAAAAACTATTCACAGCGAGAAACAATTTAATTCTGAATCTATCAATTCACACAAATCACCATCATTGCCCTCAAGCATTGTACATAAGTTCTTATGAATCACGAAGGAGCCATAAAATAAATTCTGAGCTCAATTCTGTATTTACATTGTTGTTCTATTGAAAAAAAAGAGAATTTCTCACTCGTGTAAAATTTTACCATTCAATTGTGTACATATTTATTGACTTGTGTAATTTGATCTTCAAAACTTCCTTCAAAAATAGCACTCGACTTAGTCAGTCTTTTTTTTATGTGTCTGAGCTAATAACAGTTTATTTCTTGTTATTGGTATTTAAACTGCTTTTCACACATTTTTTTGTAAAATGATTAATTAGTGAGAGAAGTGAGATCTTTGAGGAGATAATCAGGTTTTTGATGAGGTGAGTTTTTTGAAGGTTTTTATGATTAGTTGTGAAAGTTTATTGGTAATTGATATGTTATATGTGATTTGTGGGTTGGAAGTGAGGCACTGTTGATGTTGAAAATTTACTTTTGATTGGCATGGCTGCTACTAGACTCATAGGAACCTGTAGTCATAGATCTTTACTTAAAAATCGTCAACTTCTCCTTCAACTTCAATTCAATCAATTTTCCCAACTCATCCCTTCTTAGTATTCAACATTCATCCAGCAAAGTCTTCAAACTCTTTACTCTCTTCGGTTAACAAAGAAATTTGAAGTTTATCGTTAAAATGTGAACAAAAATGATGTCAAAGAAGAAGTCAAAAAGTTTATGAATCATAAAAAAATCTCATCACTGCGGAAATTAAATTAAATTTAATTATGCTAATGACTTTAAACTTTTTTTTTCTGACAAAGTTCTTCAAGTTTTGAGGTAATTTCTGGAAAAAATGTTTTAGCAAAGAATGGTAGAAAATTGGGTTTAGGTTTTTAACATGGCTTCGTTTTATGACGATACCAATCCCCATCCCCCAATCCCCCCTACCCTCCCCACCCCCTCTCAATAATTCTCTGAACAAATTCGCTCTGCTAGAAAGATAAACCAGACTCAACGGCATGATTGCTAATAATCTAGCATTTTGGCTTCATAGAGCCTCTTGTGACCAATTACTTGCAAAACCCAGTTTACCAAGTGTGAACCCATGTAAACATTTAAACCTTTATTCAACTTTAATCAATAAATTTTGAACTTTTTAATTCTCAATAATCAAAAATTCAAATCCCACCCTTCCAAAAACTTGTCCTACATTCAACTGCGGATATCCTTGAACAGCTCATAACAATTCAACTAAATTGTAAGAAATCGAGAAGAAAAAACTTTCACCATAATTCAATAGAATGAATAGCAGGAAAATTGAATTATTGATGGTTCAATTAAGTTTGACCAAACGAGAATCGTTTTTCTTTCACCGCAACTTTGAGTGCTCAAAATGAAATGAGAAGTCCTTAATTAATTAAAAAGAAGCCACTTGAATGGAAGGAAAGATTGAAGGATTTAAACTTTTGAGATTTAATTAGTTTTGGAGGTGTTTAGGGGTTAAAACTTGATTTAGATAGCAAATTTGTATGTTTGAACCTTCTCTTCTGTGATTTGAAGGAACCAACTCTAAGACAACTTTAGCCATACCAACCAACCTCCCAAAATCAGCTTCAAATCCACAAAACCTCGCTAAACTCCCCACAAACACCACAAAACTGATTAAAACACGTTTCAATTTGCCTCATTTTTTTCACTTTTCTTTGTTCGTGTTCTCCACATTTAGTTTAATACTTTTTTATTTTTTTCCTTTCATTATTCCACATCTCCAAGAACTCGTTCGTTCTTACTTTTTATTCAACTTTCTTTGTTTTCTTTGTCTTCTTTCTCTCTCGCTGCCTTCGCCTTACTCTTCATCATTATTTGATTCTTTTATTGATATTGACTTTATTGGATGCAACCACTTTAAATGAGTAGAAAGGAGAAAGAGAAGCGAAATCAATTTTAACTTTTTTTTTCTTTTCTTTCTTCTGTTTTGTTTGTTGGATCACACAAAAGTGATTCTCTTTTTTCTCACCCTTCACTTAACAGTTTTTACTCTAGTTTTTTTCTGGCCTTGTCTTTTGTTCTTTAAATGGTTCTGACCGCGTTTCTTTTCTTTTTTGTGTGTGGATAGTTCCGATTTTTGTGGCCTATTTTCATGGTTTTTAAAAATTTGTTTGAATTTAATTGATTTAATTTGTTTGGAGATTGTTGTGATAATGTTAAGGTTCTGGAGGATTTGAGCCAGTTTGACCTAGATCTGGGTCACATGACACAACTCATTTGAAAACTTAAAGTTTTAGTGCCAGGAGCATTAGGAGCTATATTCTTGGTAACTTAGTAGTAAGATACCTTAAAAATTTTTAAAATTGCAGCAACTAATCAACAATTTACTCCAAAAAATTCAGCTAAAACTTCTTAAAACCCATCAAAAATTCAACTCCGGAAATTCCATCAACATGTAAAAAAGATTCTCAAGATATTCAAGAAAATAAAAACTGTCAATAAAACAAAAAATCAATTTCAATTCTTTTATGGAAGCAAAAATTTCATTTCGTGCGACCTTCGATCCGAAAACTTAATTTTGTCGATGTCATTTTAGCCTTTTTTTCTTATCAATTATTTAATTTATATTCTTTTTTGTTGCAAACACGATTTGCTTGTCAGTTGTTGACTTTGTTGTTTTTGAATTTGAAAGATAAAGGTAAGTTTTTGTAGCTAATTAGGCTGATTGACTTATGTTGGAAAAGTGTCGTGAGCTAAAGGAGATGTGGATGAAGTCAACCTTATTGAACCTATTTTAAATAGTCCCTAGAGATTATTATTAGACCTTTAGATACACAACATTAACACAGAGCCCGCCTATGCCAAATGTCTTGAATAAAATACCGAGCCTGAGTCAGCATTAAGATGATTTGACTTGAAATGAATAAAGTCAAGTGGAGTCAACTCAATCAATTCGACCCGAATAGTACAAGTCGGTTAATCAAACAGAAATCCGGACCTAAGCTGGTATGACTCTGGTATGGTGCTGGATTAAAATCGAAGCCAGCATCATGTCAGCTTTTGGCCGAATTTCTATTCATTTTACCGACTTGTGCTTTTTTGGCGAGTTCAATCTCTGTCTTAACAAATACTCTTTAAAGAATCTTTTGTAATTCTAATTTGTAAGCAGTATTTCCTTAGGTACTTCAAAAACGAAGAAAAATGACTCAAACCAGTAAATTTTGTCCTTTAGACAGCAACATAATCACAAAACCTAATCAAAGCTTCATTTTCAACAATAATATACCAAAAATGACTCATCAAATCTACATCATGACATCACAACCACTCAAATTCACCTGCGAATCCCATAATTATCTCACACTTCCACCTGTTCTTACTCAGCATTCTGTCAAACTTCATTTTCCATTAAAAACTTTTTCTTTAAATCTAAAAATATTATCCAGCTCAGTAGAACAGAGCTCAGTTTAATAATTTTATATCGTAATCTAAAAAAACATGAAAAATCCATTCTCATTCTCGTTATTTCCTTTATAATTGACAACTAATGTCAGAAACTGTGACAATTTCCAGGTTTTGTGACAATGTCTGCTGTGGCTGAAGAGCTACCAAGGCTTTGATGGGGTTTGAATTAAATTTTATGGATGATTTGGCGGTTTTGAATATTGTGGAGTCAGTTGGTGACTTTGATATGAGACTAAAGCTGATTAGCGTTAATAAGTAAAGTTTACCAGTATATGTAATGGACCCACATGCACCTCTATAAATAATCTACACTAAAATGAAGTTAATACATGAGACTGCTTTGCTAATCGTGCTCCAAAAGAATTAAATTATAATAATTCAGAATATTCAGTAGCAGCCTAAACCTACAAAATCTCAAATGCAACAAAATCTCATTCCACATTAAAAATAACCAGATTTTTCCTTATAAGTACAAAAAAATTCTATGCAAATTCACCTCAAAACATGAACAAACAAACAAAATAAAGCGATAAAAAGGTGATTGCTAAATAATCAGCGTATAATTGATGCATGAAAATTGTATATTTAGCTATTTATTGACCTGTCATAATGAAGCAATTGTTTTACTGGCTTGAGAATTGAATTGTTAGTGCTGCTCATTTCCATTCAATTTCATGGAAATTCTTCTCACGATTATTTAATAATGTTTTGGAACGAATCAAGTTGTTTTGATGTGGATTTGATGGGTTTTGAAGTTGAATTTGTGGAAATTTGTTTAGAATTTTTTGTAAAATTTTTAAGCATTTTTTGGTTGTATTTTGAATTAATGTTGAGACTTTTTTAATATTTTCTATATTAGATTAATCTCAATTTCCTTAATCTAAACCAACTTAGTCTCAATCCACCGATCAGTTCATAAAATATCGTTCATTAACCTGTCTGAACTTGTCGTACAC